TGGAGAGCTCTCCGTACACTCTCACACGTCCGGAAGTCTGAGAATACAAAGAACGTATTATGTTTACAAACTTCCGGGGCATTCCTTGGTGGGCAAGCGTCTCAAGAAGAACAGACCGATCAACCGAGTCGAATGTGCCTCGGAAATCCAGGAATACTAGAATCGTGGGTCGCCAATACGATTTCACGTATTGGAAATAGAAACAAAACTTGGTGAGAACATAAACCTACGGATATATGATTGCACGGAAGAGGAACTCAGTTGCAGGATATTACCCTGGTTCATTATGGTTGTGAGGTACAACCATGAGCCTCACAACCCTGAAGGAGAAATTGTATATCCAACATCCATCAAAAGGCGACACCGCACTGAACGACACTGAGCCAGAACTGACCAACGTGTTCAATAGAATACCGTTTTGATACCTTAATCGCCGTCATGCGTATACTGTGCCTGGGAGCAAAAAATTATTTGCCTTCCGCCTTTCTAATGACATAAGTGGGCTTAGTTAATCGTCAACAATCGTGTAATCGTATTTACATGCAAATCACGCGCTACATAGTTCACCATTGCGTTTAGTGTGGAAGTGTCATTTGTGCAACCGCTGCACGAAACAGCTACCAACAGACTCAGCTTACCCGGTCGGATAGGGGGCATTAGGGCCGCGTTGGACCTGCCGGACAACTTTTGATCACACACAAATGGTCCGCAGATTTAATCTACATCAGGTCATCGGAGCACTATATAGATCCAGAAATTATCAAGCGTGCCACGAAAGGAGGAAGGCTGAACTCTCCCGCGGACAGATTTTGACCAAGTAGGCTACAATTGGTGCTCAGCAGAACTAAAATTCTCTAGGAACACGCCATTTTCCATGGCACATATACTACCGGATAGAAGTGAGGTCAGCTATCCCCGACAATTTGTTCCCTATTTCGTGGCTTTCCGACTGTGGACCATTTAGGAATTACTGAGTTCGAATATACGGGTGAGAAGGATAGGAAAAACGATTATTTAACAGAATCACTATAAACTGCCAGCACCGGAACAGTCGGCTTAATTAGCTTTTAATCTTTGAAGTCACATTATTTAACCAACACAATAAAAACGGAAGACTCACTCTTCGGTAGTAAAGTAAATCTTCAAATGACTGCTGAATTCACGACAGAGAACCATGAGTTCCCTGAAAAGTTCTTTGAGCGCACTCCGTTGGACTTCTTCAAGCACGGAAAATATAACAGAGCTCGAATCAAGGAACTTTCGCAGCGTGGTAGCCACATCTCTAGATGATAGACACACTTTAATTTTGTGGCTGTATACCTGATTATGACGATAAACGCTTGGCGTTCCTTTATCGTCTCAGGTATTCGAACTAGCGTGCTCCTCAGCGAAAGGGCATTGGTAAGAAAGCACCTCAAACTGTGGTATGGGATGGGAACCTGATGAGTTGTGGGTTCTGCAAGAGCGGAGAGTAACCACAAGAGGAACTCACCCTCTAGAACGCACAGTCGTAGCACTGATTCTGCTGTACTAGCATCATCAAAGAACCCGAGGCGATGTAAGAGCCCCGAGGTGAAGTAGGTCGAAAAACCTGGGTATTCAGCTTCCACCTAATAGGATAAATTTAATTAAGGGCGGCGCATACGTTATAGAAAGCCTGTTGAAGGAGTGCCGTACGGCTACTATCCTCACGACGTAGCTAGAGAAGTATTTAGGTAGGGTTGTAAGTTGAATTTACCGTTTTGACAGTTGAAGTAAGCACCTCGATAGGGACCTCGATATCATTACACATTGCGTTAGTGTTAGATATACGGTCTGCTCGTGGTACACCCTGCAGAATGTATGGACAAACCTGAAACGCATCAAAGATCGAAAGTTATCTGATGATTCAGCATCGGTGCCTATCGAACTTCTTCGCTGAGTGGCGATATCGATGAGGAGTTTTATATAAATAGAGGAAGTTGAATTGTCCACGAGAGTAAGTACTGACCAAGCTCACAACATTGATCTCGCACTGATTTCATCGGACTTGGATGTAGAACGAATCACGTTGGTGCCGTTGGTGCATGGCTACCTTCGTGTTAGATGTGAAAATAATTCAAACCCTTCATCCCACACACAAACCTATTATGGTGGTATAGACAATGGCTCGTGCCGCAATCAAACAGGTGGAATTACGGCACGCGAATCGGTAGGCTGATTGCCTCCTCAGATTGCCCAGTACTGTTGCAAGACCAGATGAGTGCATTTCCAAAGACAGTCACGGCTTCAGAACCACCAAATATGGTGGACAGATTTACTGATCTGGGTGAGTGACAGAATCGCGGACAAAAGAACTGCAAAAATTACAGAAATCCGTTCTGCTTCTCTTCGCCGAACCCAAATTTGATACTTTGACATATTGGTCGGGCTTGGGTGCGACAATGGTTCTGCCTGTAACTTGGTTCCATAGGGTTGAACCACTCTAGAAGGGTCAAACGTAAACAGCAAGTAGTCAAGATGTTATGAATGTAGGGTCGTAATACCCTCATTGATGTGAATGTTAGGTAAGTAGGACTCTCGTTCCAGGCATCCACCACGTTGGCATTTCCCGAGACGGCGACGCTGCCTACCATCAATAGGTGACTGATTATAAAAAGTCTGTTCTGGAGACTGCACACGCCGGTTGAGCGAGAGCCCAATCCGGGCACAATAACGCCTGCTGCCACAAAAGAATCACGAACGAGGTATTCAAGCTTTAGTCACCGTGCCATCCTATTAAGTCATTCTCACGCCCCAAGGCAACGGTCAGACTGTTGATTTCTTGTATAAGGACATAAACCTCTGCTACTCACTGACTTGCGAATTAACCTTTTCAGTAAAATATTGCCAGTATTTATTAAATACACCTCACTGACACATCTAACTAGATGGGGTCTATATCACAGACTGAAACACCAGGCCTTTGGGAAGCATATTCATTTAAAGAGTGCCATAAACGATTAACTTGGGTTTCCGTTAACACCAAGTCAATTTGCAAGTCACTGGATCCCGCCAATTGCGTAAACCTTGGTTAACGGGAACTGGAGGACCGCGTCTACCTAGTAATCCCCTAGAACGGCGAAACCGGTCTTAGGCTATCAGTGTTTTCGGTAGGCTTACGGGTAGTGTGTCCCACCAAGAAAGAATGGGAGGACTGAACGCCTAGAAACCAGCATGCTGACGCCCCCTCCTGACATTCACACATTTCCTCTTCGATTCTACCCCACCATTTGAATACCATTATGAATGCTCTCTGCAGTTCCCAGGACTAGGACCGACAGCTCTGTTCGCTGTTCGCGACACTCAGTTGCAGCTTCTGTATGTCAGTCTTCACTAACAACCCTAGATACCCGGAAGTCTGTCTCTAAACCTCACACAACGAAGCAAGCGGTACAAGAAGCGGCTCTTGCTCGTATGCCGTATTTCGTCTACACTGATATATGCTGCCTGTCAGAAACGAGGATACAGGTTGCAAGTAGTGACTGCCCACTCGCTCTCTTCCCGTGTCCGGCTGCGCAATCTCTGGTGACGTGGAGACCGATGCAGTTGGATACATCTGTGTGGATATTGGCCTGGGCAATCGTGAGGAAGCGTCTCTGCTTAATTAGATACCCGTTGATAGTAGCCTTTGCACGGTTAGTTTGGCAGTCTATGGAAGAATCCCGATAAAGTGAGGTCTATTGAAAGTTGTTTACTGTGTCCAACGTTCCAACGGAATATAGCCCTGAGTCCCCCGAAGGCAGTTCCTATGACGCTCTGGATGTTCTTTTGTAACGATGTAGAAACTCATATATCACTCGACTGCTGGTGACATGAATGGCTAAGCACTTCTGGGGACCCATTGGGTGGTCGCGCTGGGTTGGACACAAGTACGGACAATGTAGGGCTCCTGTTGCGCGTGTGTTCTTATCGCAGACTGTTCCCTTGCAGCAATGATTTCCGAAACGGCGGAACCAGCCACGTACCGATACAGACCACGTTGTCATTCTCCCCATCTAAGTGTTGAAACCCCACCAACCTCACCCAAGCGCTGGATCTCTGGTAAGACCGTGGCTTTGCTGAAGATCGGGCGACAGATATTTTCTATTCGCAACCACAACCCAACTCGATGCGTCACCTGACCATGGTAAAACTGGGCGTTCGTACAGGGTGAGAAGTTTAGTGGACCCGAAAACCCGGAAATGGAAGAAACGAAAATGTTGGAAACGTCCACCGGGAATTCCATTTGTTTCGTTCGATAGGTGCACAGAAGCCTTTTGTCATTGACATCATCAAAGACCAAAACAGTTCCGTAATGTCCAGCAAAATAGCTTTGGACAGTTGGGTAGAATACTTCAGGTCAACACTCATTTGGATACCTGCTACTTTTAATCCGGGCTGTTGACCTTCACCGGATGCCTGGACGGTCAACATTAAGCTCCTTTCAACTTCGGAAGTGCTCGAGTGTGTATTCTTCCTCGTCATCGTGACCTTCGTTCCAACGACCTGCCACCAGCTTCGTTCAAGTACGCAGGTAAACTCCTCATCCAATGCCTGTCTTTCGTATCGTGTCTATCTTGGAGAAAGAGACCGCCCCGGACAAGTGGCGTGAGTTAGTAATAGTGCCCGCGGTGGATGTATTACACACCAGGGTCCCCGTTCGACCCCCGTTGTAACAAGGTTTCCAGCATCACTGATTTACCGTCGCCTTACGACTGCATCGAACGAGACGTTGACCGGGTACAGCGTAATCCTCACGCCACCAGGTGTTAAAGGTGCGTTTGGTCCTGCCTACCAGTCACTGTTTCCTACTACATTTGCCCAACGGAGGATGTCAGGAATTCGTGAAAAGAATCAGGTCATTTCATCCCCATAATTCGGGTCATGTGAGAGTGTATAGTGAGGTCTACAAAAACTGATGACCAGAAAGGATGCAATCTTCTTCCACCTTTGTTGAAGGAGGAAATCAAGAGACGAAGGCTAGATGGCCCCAACATTCAAAATGTCGCTCGTGAGGACAGTCAGTTCAGTTACAGTACTTGCGATCCGTATCCTTGTTTCTGGCAGACAGCATATGTTATGCAGACGGAATCCAGTGTATGAGTAAAAGCTACTTGTTGCAATGCTTGCTTCCGTGTGGGAACGTTAAAGGAAACCAAATAAGCCGGCGGTTGGTGTTTGAAAGTGTAATTCGAAGTGTTTAGGGCTGTTGCTGACGTAAGACACAGAAGCTGCACCTGAACGGGAGGGGGCGAGCTGGCGAATTTACTGACCGAAGGCCCGTGGTTCGAACCCCACCTCTGCCTCTCGATTTCCCCTGTCTAGGCTTGGGCAACCTGGCAGTATCCCAGCCCTCGCGCGACCTTCGGGTAGCATGACAACTAGGCACCGAAAGGGCGCTATAGCTGAACAATTTTTTGTATGCATCAAAGGGGACCCGGATGGTGAATCCACGTGACGGCCGATGTAGCACGAGAGCATTGTTAGTTGTCGTACGCAGCGGTAAGCGGGCCGGAATACCGCAAGAGCGCCCAGATCTAGGTAGGAGGAGGATTAGGATCCTCTGCCAAGGCCTTTGGCTCAAAAGCCTGATCGCAATGCAGCGGTGTTAAGCGGGAAATGCAAGCGCACAACAATTTTATGGAACAAGTGGCCACACGTGTTCGAACCCCTAACCTGGAAGGCCAGGAGACTGTGTTGGTCAGACCTCTGACCACTAAGCAACTTGGTACGAGAGACTGTTGGTGTTGAACGTATAGCTCAATGGATCACGGAAGCACACAGACCATCAAACGACGGTAAGGCGTGTCTCCAACGGAACGCGCAATCTCTGAACATGATATCTGCGATCCAAAGAGATACACAATTGCACGTTGCTTGGTAATGACTCTGATGGAGGTGTGTCTGATGCCGTCTCAAAGAGTTGAATCACACTGGCTAACCTGCGACAACTGCAGTTTCAAAGCTGTATATCGGTGGGTCTCAATGTTTGGGTGTTCCAAGTTAAAGGCAGTGTTATTGTAGGTATTGACACACCATTCCGACACAATTATCAACATCATAACCTGCGAGAACCGCATAATTGTCGTAGTGGTTCTGTCTGTCACAATTTCGTTCACCGGGAGGTATGGTAGGTACATGCGTATTGAAGGCGGAGGGTGATACAACTTATGTGTAAATAAAGGGTTGTCAGTAGACTTTTCATTTGGGGGAGTGGAAGAGGAACTATGCAGTGAAGGCAATAACTTGGGTGCATTTGCGACACTGGGAGCGCAGTCGGGCCATGTTTGACAATGTCTCCACCATTACCACAACTTTTCGATTCTCCTATGAGGGGTTCATGAAAGGCTCCGTAGGATTTTAATAATAAATAAAACCTTAATTTGGTTTATATGCACTGCAACAGCGTTTTTAAGTATTTGCTCCAGTCGCTCTCCGTCTCTGCGTAAGGTGTAACGCTTTTTGAAGTAAAATCCCCGGCGACTTACACGGTCTCTACATGCATGTGGTGGGGTTGTTGACACAAATCAGTGATACCTAAAGAGCCATTCAGCGAATATGTATAACTAGACAGTCGAAAATGAGGTATTTATCGCGCAGGTCCGATTTGTATGTGACGAACTAACGATAAATTAAGTTATCGTTTCCGAGGTTGTGGTAATAGCATCAGCTCGATTCTGCAAGCATTTTCGCTCCGTATAATCTCACACTAATAAACTTTGTTGGGTCAGTTACAAAGGGGCACTATTCCACAGGTGCAGTATGCAACCTATGGAAGCACCAGGGGATCGACTCTCCGAATGTAGAGGCTCACAACGAGTTCTTTGGGTAGAAGACAGGAAGGAAGGTCATGAACCGAAGCCCAGTAAGCAAAGTTGCACATCAGCACTCATAGATCAAGCAGACCGACTGACACTGTATACTACACAGTCCGATTTACCGCGCTCAGTTAGGCTCTGTTATGGCCGGGATGCCTATCCCGCCAGGGATTAACCAAAAGTCTGGCTTCAAGGTGAGCTCTGATTGGTCGAAAGTCCGGACACAACAATCACGCCCCAGTATTCGCCGAATAACGATTGCCAGTGACGCATTCAGAAGGCATCAGGATTTCCGGGTTGTTGTCGTGGCACGCACTTTATGTACGACGCGCCGCTTAAGTGTGTATGGCCACGTTCTTGGGGTTAATAAGCATTGTGCACCTTTGGTGGTTGTTTTCCAATGGGACGCTAGCTTTGGAGGTTCAGATCCAGATCTTTTTTGAGAAAGATAGCGTTACTACGCTGGAATTCCCCGCACTGTTAACTGCTGTATACAGACCACCTGGTCGTCGTAACTTCCCACGTTTCTTGCTTTATTTCCTAAAGTGGTCATTTGAGTGCAGCTGAGTAATCCGACGAATGGCACTAAACGCCGCTAGCACAATTCCTTTTACGTTTTGCCATCTTCCATCAGCGCTCTCGCTGCCAGTATATTGTTGCTTCTGTAGTGGTCTGGCTACTCAGTAAGTTAGTTTACCAGGAGTGTGTGGCAAAGAAATAAAAATAATGACGCTAGGTTAGGTATACAAAAATAAAGAGATCAGTTGGAACTGACTCACTAACAATTGTTCTCTTTAAAATAGTTCGTCGTTGGCCCAGGTCAGCGAATAAACAATAATCCAATTATGTTGGTCCACTGGTCTTTTTCTGAACAGTTCCCACATATAATAGATTCCGAAAAGGTCTGAAATGTTTTGGTACCAGAGTTAGTACATGAGACTCGCGAATGACCGCTGCAAGCGCGAGCGAAATCAGAAGAGGGAGTCGAAGCACGTAACCACGCTTGTATTATATGAAATTGTACCAGTGCGCGTTTTTGTAGTTTTTCGTATTCAAGCAAAAAAACGATTATCGATTGATGAAATACGTAGTTATAATGGAAGTTAAAACGCCACACTTCCCTGTAAATAATTTTTGGGCCACCTAGGATTGGCAATTTCGAGCTATGTTAGTTCTTCGAAGACGGTTGATTGGCGGGCTCTTGGTTTCTTGTGGGGGCTGAGGGTATAAAATCCCTCAGGCATGCACCCACCATGGCGTGATCGGGACCCAGTTATATGCCCCAGAGGAAACCGCTGTTAGCTGATTACCACTCAAGCCAACCGGGTCCACGGTTGATTCGCAGTTAATAGCCCTCAGGCTGCGCGATGCGAACGTTTGTGCTGGCAGGAAACAATAGATGATCAGCACACAATTGGGGGGTCGCTCTCCATTGTCTTTGTGACGAGCACCGAATACGAAGCGACCAATAAAACGTGATTTGAAAGAGCTAAGAACTGAGCATTCATATCGAAATACTAATGATTCTTGCTTGACGACCGAGCCTGAAATCTCGATAGAAAGTATCCTTTACAAAATTAGAAATGCGATCTCTAGATGTTGGGAATGCATGCTATGATGTGATGAGGCCCCCAAATGGATGTACACGCCGGAAAGCAATGAGCGCTGGGCTGCCCCCTCTGATATAATGATATGATAAAACGTGGGTCTGCGTGTCATTTAGTGGAGACTCAGCAAACGCCCTCGTCGTACGTGCTAGGAAAGGACCAGAAGACATTACAAGGATAACTACATATCCTCCCCAGTTTTTTGATGTCCCACGCGTGGTTGGATGCACCTTCTCTTTAATTAATATTTACTCATTCTATCCAACTTTTCTTTGATTTGCTACTGATGAGGTGATGATGGGGTTTGATAATCATGGGGGTGCTGGTACTCGGTTTGCAAAGCTCTCCGAGTGACCTAAAACATGCAGACGACAAGGTTCACATTGGCAGACATCAAAAGGGAGCTCAAGCGTTACTTGAAAACTGGCCGGGTCACCAAACCACCCGCCGGTGGTTCTTAGCCTGAACATTATCTCCCGATTTCCCCAAATGGCAACATTGCTGATTTTCTGTGGATGGCTTGAATCCGCCCCGATTTTCTTGTGCCCAGCATTACCAAGAAATACAAGCAAACGAATCTGTCCTTTTGATTGGTTTAAAAAATATGCGTGGGTTAGGCTGGATATACTCTGCGAGACATAATTATAGCAATATGCTTAATAAGCATATCTCGTTGGCTGAACCCTTCATCCCGCTGCGCTGTTGCCTGCCGCTCATGCCTCAGCTGACAGTTCCTAACGGGTATTCAAAACACCTCTTGATGGAAGCGCTGTGGTCTTCATGTTTCTTTCACCACAGTGCATGAGTCGTCGTATTGCGGACTGCTAAATGCCAGCTAATTTTACATGTACAAAATTAATTATGAATTTTTGTGCTTTTCAAGTTTCTTATCATTGCCTCAAAAATATGCTCCAAGTGACGCCTCGTCAAAAGTAACTATTTATGTTAAACTAATTCGAGCAATCGCCACATCTGGCTGTTTTACAGTCGGATGCGCTCAAACAGCCCCAGGGGGGATAGGTGTTAGTAAGATCCACAAGTGGCGCAGGTGGCGCGTTTCAGATATACCAAATTTGACTGCGCCAGGTTCTATGCTGGGTCGTCATTTAGAGCTCTGCCCACTACCGCTGGGTTCAATAAAAACCCTGACCTTTGTACCCTGAAACCTAAAGGCTGCTGAAAACTTGAGTCACTGGAAAAGACTTCCTCTATCCCTGAAAGAACCTACCAAAATTGATTCACATTTATCTGTTAAGTTGACTGTGCGGGTTCCTTGCAAGGGATCTACGCACTGCTCCTAAAAGTTCCTCTCCTGTGTCGCATCCAGCATAATGTCCGAAGACGTTCTCCGTCTCGCATATTTGTGGATTTTCCACTCACATTATTTCCCCTCTTTTTGAAGTGCCAGCTGCTTTGTTTTACCCGTAATTATGGTTCAGAAAAAAGTCAGGACGCGTTCTGCAGAATACACTGAATTTTTTGGGTAGCTCCAGGTTCATCCGACTGCGCGTTTGTTTCATTGATGCGAACGTCGCGTCAGCCTAAGTAATTATTCGGATAATGATCCTTTATAACTCTTACACTGAAGTTGGTCGAAATTTAAATTCATCAAAGAATCTGAGAATTTCTGAAAAGTTTGCACAAAAGAACTTCGGAAGCCACTTTTGGGGTTCGGATTTTCGGGCCCACTGGCAGGTGAGATCGAACGTCAGTACATGGATGTTACTAAGGCTAATTAGAGCTTGCAATTACGTCCGATCCGTGAGTTCCATTTCGTTTATGATGACCAAATCCTTCGAGGATGTCAACCGGCCTTGGCGATATTTGGTAGCTGCTACGACATGTTGAGTCCAAGCGTTGTGTTGAACGACTTTGGTCAGCGCCGATGCAAAATGTTTACCTGACTCGATGAGCAATGATTCCATCCGAGAGGCAGTTGTAGCTTCAAAAATACTTAGCAATACGGGGTGGGCAAAGTGGCTCCAAGCGTTTGTTGAACGACTTTGGTCAGCGCCGATGCAAAATGTTTACCTGACTCGATGAGCAATGATTCCATCCGAGAGGCAGTTGTAGCTTCAAAAATACTTAGCAATACGGGGTGGGCAAAGTGGCAACCGTAAGAGTGTTGCTCGGGAAACTCGCAATCTTCCGGTTGACTCGAGGAAAAACGAAGACTGCTGGGAAGAAGAGACTCGGTCCAACGCCTGGGGTTTGAATGAACGTTATTGTTACTAATAATTAATGATTTTATTCCCAACTTGTGGGTGGCATACCGCCTGGCATGGCCATAGATTTACGGTCAGAAGGAGGCATGACTGAGGGGTTTGTGGGGGTGCGGATTGCACGAAAATGGGACAATGTCATGAACACTGGGGAATATCCAGTGAAATTTTAATGATTGCTTCCGTTCTCAACTTGTTGGGAACAATGGATATGAGGTCCGACTAGTTCAAAGACATCGCCAGCTTGCATGAACTAAAGCTGAAAACCACTGCTGGCCAAGGATGCCCTTGGGCGGTTAGGCAAATGGCCGGGGTCACAACGGGCATAAGTGGAGATGGAGATGGAATAATTCGAATTGAGAGCACATGGCGAGCTTTGTCTCACAAATTTGGTTTAATCCGAAACTAAGCAGACTCACTGGTTGCACTGCTGCAGGGAAGTCTGGTGCAGGGTATAGGTTGGATGGGAGCAAGGCGATAATACATAGGGCGACCCGAACACCGTATACCGATTTGAACTGGTGGAGGAGGCAAGCTGAAATTGTAGTAGAAAACCAGGCTAGCCAAATCTGGGTGGAAATTTATCGGGTACGAAAAAGCTCTTCCCGGAAACCGGGCCAGATGAAAAATCTGCTCGTAGTTGCGACTACAGGCTTGAGTGGACGAGGGGTTGCGGTCGAGATTCTAAAGAAAATAGTTGCGGGAGTGCCATCTCACTGGATATGACAGTGCCATGCCATCATTGTACTGACATGCTTCGGTTTATGGACAGCGCCGTAACGGTCGTCAAGGGTCGGAAAAGGGATACGCAGTTCCGTGGCAGCTGGTTCTGGGTGAGACAAAGAGTGACACAGAGAGTCAGGCGGGTGCAGGCTCACGAATAATTTCCTTTTCGCTAGAGGACTGTGTGAGCATAGACCGGGGACAGGCCAGTTTGAATGAATAACAGTTCTAAAGGGGCGTTTGGGCAACTGCAGTCGAGGATTGAAGCTTGGGAAGAGGGGCAACGACAAAGAAATAGAATGAACGCAGTAGCGTTTGGCGAGTGTCAGGAGGCATAAGCTATAACGGTGTCAAAAGAAAAAGTACAAAAGGGGATGACATCAAGCTAAATAGACCCAGGAACGGTGAATACGTTTGCTGATCTAGAAATCAAGTACTAGTTTGGCCAGAGAAAGTGCCCAGTTTTAGGAAGGTTGGAACATTTGTCGCGCGTTACTTTCGAAATCGGATTCGTTTTTCCCTCGTGCAAATTCGTGAAAGAATTTTTTCGTTGTTCAATCTATTCACAGAGTACACACGAGTTATTGTTGAATTTTATTACCCTAACAAAACACTTGAGTGATAACCCTATATATTTTGCGCACACCTACTTTACATCTAGTCCGAATCATGACATTAATTTATACCGACTGCCCTCCGCAGCCATTGATAGACCACAGTAGATGTGGGCGAAATGGCTACCCGTCGAACGTCAAACGCGATATGCAAAGCCACGCCTGCAAGGTCTGGTGGCATTTCAAATGCACGGGCTTACAGGACGACCAGATAAGCCGACTAGCCAACTCTCCTGACCCATTTGTTTGCGCCAGCTGCCTCTACGTCAAGGGTGCAATGCATAAAGGGGCGAAGAGGAGAGTCCCCAAAAACGGTAGCCAATCGTCAGTGCAGATTCAGAAAGACCACTGTCAGTGTTACACCTTAATAGGGATACTCGACGCGAAATTAGAGCGTCTTTCAAAGGCATTGGAGGACTCAGGAGCTAAGAATGCAGCAACCTGGACGAAAGTTGACAAGGAACATTTCTCGCTGGACCAATACCTCGCGACATCCATACCGGGCCCCATGGCTGCAAAGAAAGTCATACAACTTTCTGACGCGGCTATAAAAACCGCTACAGCGTCTCTAGTGGACAGACGCCTAAGGGAAAACAGGCTGACAATCTGGGGGTCGTTCTCCGGAAAAATCACGCCAGCGAAGCTGGCACAGTCGATCCTCAGCAAGCCTGATAATTCGCTCCACGCAGAATGGCTACGCCAGAAGGGAAGTAAGCGAAATCTTGGGCTTCTAGTCACTCTTTCTTCCCCGGACGCCGTACAGGCAATCTTGGAGCGGGCTGGCAGCATTCAAAATGCCAACCCAATGATCAGGCGCCTAACTGAGAATCGTCCTCTAGACGCGCGTAAGCTTGGTCATAGCAGGTCAGGAGTGGAGGCACGAAACAGGCTTCCACCGGGCAGCAAACCAGACAACCCCAAGATCATGACCAAGCCGATTGCGGTCATATCCCCCTGTGCTCCCGAAAGCAGGCCGACGAAACCAGCTGCGTCTCCGGACAGCAGTTTTTATCCGACTACCACAGGCCTCTCACCCACCAAAGGCAGGGACTCCTTGGAGTAGGCAAAATCCACATGCAAGCAGCGCCCAAAATTACGTAGGGCTATCAACGATTATCTCCGTATCAGAGGACACAACTGCAGCCGTACACTCGTCAACAAAGTCACAGCCTCCGGACCGGACTGAGTCAGATGTGCGGGGACAAGAAGCGAAGCCAATCTCCAGCTCTGCTCCGTCGAAAGCGGCCTCTCCGCTTGTGGACACGACCGTCGCCCAGAACCCCGACACCCAAAGCCACCAACATGACTACAGCCATCCGGAAAATCAATTGTACATCCAGTTGGCCACGCTGATCACTGGCGGATCGGGTGTCCACACAAACACGAAGGAAGAGTGAATACAGCCAAACAAGCCACAGAAAACGGGATTCAAGAGAAAATACTTTGCTGGATCAAGGCGTTTTTATCANCTACTCAGGACGCATGAAAGACGTCACCCTCATTGAGCGTGTCCATCGGGCCGCTACGAGAATGGTTGCCGGCCTAAAATCCGTGAATCACGAAACGCGTCTCGCGATGCTTGATCTCTTTTCCCTGGAGTACCGTCACCTCCGAGGGGGATTAATTCTTACTTACGCCCTGTTCGAACAGAGCTTTGCAAACAGGTTTTTCACCGTTGACACAGCAAACACCCGGCAGGGACATTGTAAGAAAATTTTTAAGCTCAGAGCACACACATTCATTAGACAAAATTTTTTCTCATTTCGTGTAGTAGCTGCGTGGAATGACCTTCCTCTAGCAAGTCCACGCTCGTTCTAGAACCCGGTTTAAAGCACTGTTAGATATTTATTTATACGAATCCTCGCGCTGGCAAGCATACTGCCCCCGCGCTGAGAACATAAAGAGCAGCGGAACACCTTTTTTTCACTTGTGCCTTTCAGGTGAACGACAGACACTGACCGTCAGGAACAAAAGCGACACGGGAAACCTGGACGAAAGCCTCGATCCGGTGTATCAATCCGTGAATCACGACATAGTGTCCTTTTGTGCAGAAAGAGGGGTTCATGGTGAACAGTGACATTAGACAAATAAAAAGCAACATCTTCCCAGATAACTGATAGGACTCGTAGCTTAACTGGGATATACTACTTCAACCCAACAGGAATGTAGGATTAGGTATCACCAGTCGCCGATTCACCGCTGTCAGCTCCAGAAAACGAATGACGCATAGCAAAAAACAGCAATTAAGTGTTATCTGTGACTGCTTGCAATCGGGAAATGATAAGTCATTAGAATTCTGTGCATACGATCGCTCTAAATGTCAAGAGGGATGAACGTGTGTGCTATGTTTGGACGATGAGGTGGACTTGGGTTGATGTGCTCCAACTAAGACGAAAGTGGCAACTCCTTGCATGTCGGTGTTAGTCGTGACCTACACACATTACCCTCAGGCTGCGCCATGCATAAGTGTTTTTTTATTTTTTATTTTTTCTACCTCTATGTAAGGGGGTCTACGTAGCAGCCTACACATCGCAGTTTACATCACACACATTTTCCGAACACGACCCCAAACTTAACCAATTTTCTCTCCCTGTAAAACGACCTTATTGCTTGCACTTTGTGTCTGGTGTCTGGGGTGTTGTGTCCAAACAAAGAAATAGGTGGCAACTGCTTGCACGTCGTCGTTAGCCGTGAACCTCACACAGTACCCCCAGGCTACTCCATGCATAAATGTAGTTTTTTTTATTAATTTTTAAGAACAAATGGCAGGACAGCTCTCATTTGTCTGTATTTCTTGTTGTTGTGGGATAAGTGACAATCGGAACAAGGTCAATCCAGCTACAGACAAACAGCAACGGTGCTCTTTTTCGCTTTCCTGAATTAAGGGTCAGAATCAGAACCACCGACGATAGCGATACATCGATGCAACTAGAGAGGTGGCGAATACGCGAACGCACCATGGTATAAAGTAACAGGACAACCCTCCTTGCAGGGCGTACCCGTCCACCACATGAAGTCTTCACCCCTCGTGCATGCTACCAGATCTGGAGGGTGACAAGCCACTAAGCAGTCATAATTGCGGTTTGCGCATTATTGAATAACTCCGGCTATCAGATATTTTAGCCGGTCGGGGGATCCAGGCCAGTAAAGCGGCTCGGTCATTTTGAACAGGCAGATAGCAAACAGCCACTGGAAGAGGCAAGTTGCGGATGCAGATGAAACATCAAATACATTTTGGGCAATGGGAGTAGAATGGAGATGTTCAGAGCCTATGGTTACTATGGCTACAGGAAGACGAATCATTGGTGTGAACCATCTTGTCAAGTAGAGGCGTTCCAGTGTTGTGTGTGGATGAACGAGTAGGCTGTGGGGCAAGACAAGTATTTCATCCGTAGCGCATCTTCAGACCAACCATTTAATATGCATGCGCTGCGCCTGTTCGAGGGATGCGGAATGGCTCAGAACAGCGAGGAGCTCAGGCTTCAGTTTGGATCAGGTTAGTTAAATCCAGACAAAACAAAGCACCATATATTAAATAGAGCTAACAGAGTTACTCAGGGATGGGACCAGGCTTGAACAACTAGGAATCATTCGGCTGGGTACAAAAGCTTAAGGCCGCAGGAAGGAAATACAACCGAGTCAGTAAAGACGGGCTTGACGACAATTACGATGGCAGGCGCTAGACATTCTCTGCAACTCACCTACGCTTCAGAGAGCGGAATGTGCAGTCGCAGGATGTGAAGGTCTGCATAAGAAATAGATAAAGTGATAAGTGATATATAAGAACACTTGGGGGTGGTTGTCGCACTTATGGATTAATGCTAAGGGTTTGAGGCTGGTGAGTGTAAATGGTAGGACTTAGTAACAGAACAGTTAGGATAAGCGCGCTGTATAGAAGGGCTTGGTGCCTATTGAAAATGTCTGGTGCAAGCTGAGGTGCGAAAAGGCGCCCAGCTTCTTCAGTCGAAAGGTAAGAACCGATGGTCTTTCGCAAGCCTACGTGAGATGAGATAGTACGGATATGGGAGGGAAGCTTGTTCCATAGTTTGGAATAGAGGCAAAGGAAAGAGTTTTGTCCAAAGACAGTTCAACATGTCGACAATGGGAGTAAACATCCATAGTTACGGAACTTATAGGGAGTACAGGGAGAAAATTCAGGGCAGCAGTCAGCTATGTATTTATGTATACCGGTAGATTAAGCAATGCAGAAGGCCTAGATTCAACCTGATGCGCCCCAGCCACAATGGATCCAGCACACATGACAAACAACGAAGATGGCACGGTAATGTGGATGACGTCTGAAACGAGGATGAGAATGAACATTCCCCACAGCAATCCGGCATGTCTGTGAATACTGTGAGGCGAATTCCGGACTGGATTCAAGAATAGGTCCTACAAATTATTTAAAGGTGACAATCAAACACGATTTATTATGGAAGGATCGGCGAATGTAAGCGCAGAGCTTGCGAGCTTTAGCCACCCTGTACCTTGCATGTTGGTTGAAGCTAAGCGCACATGAGTACCTGAGGCCTGGGTCTCTCACTTCGGGAAGAGTAAGAATCGAGAGTCCATTATGTGTAAGCATCCCGGGAGGAATCTGGAATCGATGTGACAGGGCTCGGTGTTTTGGAACAGCGAAAAAAAGACAGTAGTTAGTGGACCAGAGGGATAGAGAATTCGAGTCAGACTGAATGTTTGCAAGCGTAGTAACAAAGTCACTGGCCTTAGACATGTAGGCTATCTTAATGTCATCAGCGAACAGAAAACGGGATCCATGGATGATCAAATCGATGGCGTTAATAACGTATAGTAAGAACAGTAAAGGGCCAAGCACAGTACTCCGAATAACTCCGCTGGTACTGAAAAGGGTTGAGGAGGAGAGATCCCCGAGTTTGGTGGCCTGGGTTCTACCAGTGGGGTAAGAAATGAACCATCGAAGCAGTGGGCCACCAATCCCCGAGGCTCGTAATTTGTTGAGGGGTGCACCGTGGGGAACTTGGTCGGACGCTTTGCGAATATCAAGACAGATAAGAATAATACGCGGCCCGGTATCCTAGGTGGACGATATTTGATTGAAGAAATCAACGTGGCATGTGTTAGCTGATCGCCGTGCCATAAACATATATTGCCGATTGTTAAGGGTTTCAGTGGTGAGCGCGTAGTCCAAGACAGGAGCTTTGGTAAAACGCTCTAGGGTACGAAGGATTAAAGCAGGTATGGTGGATGCCACGATAGCTGGCCAGAGCATTTCGTGGACCTGACTCAGCGTGGGACAATGGTAGATTGCCTCCAATGACTAGGGACTGTGCCAGTAATAAGGGAGATAATTAAGAGATTGAGGATGACGTCCGGGCCCCCAGCTTTTAAGATAAGCGAAGGGATGTCGTCAGTGCCTGGAAAACTGGAGTCTCTAAGGCTTGAATGCCAAAAAATTTCTACAACACCTGATCTTGAAATTTTGGTGTATAATAACAAAGAAGTCACATGGAACAGACTCATTAATAATTGTTCTCTTTAAAACAGTTCGTCGTTTGCCAACTTCCGCGAATAAACAATAATCCAATCATGATTGTCCAGAGGTTTTCATCTGAACAGTTCTCTCATGTAATGGATTCCGAAGACAGTTTGAAATGTTTTGATACCTGAATTAGCACACGAGACTCGCGAACATCCGCTGTAGGTGCAAGCGAAATCAAAAGGGACAGTAGAAGCACGCGACCACGTTTGTATTGCGTGAAATTGTAGGGCGTCTTTGCTGTTTTTCGTATCCAAACGGAAAGCGTTTATGCAACTGACAAACTACGTAATGTTGTACAGGAAGATAAAGGGAGATACAAAACACCACAAACCCCCGTGCTGACAAGAATACCGCCCCGCTCTGAGAACACAAAGAGCAGTGCCACACTTTTTTCACTCGCGTCTTTCAGGTGAACGACAGCCGCTGAACGACAAGAACAAAACCGACCCGGGAAATTTGGGCAAAAGCCCCGAGCCCGTGCATCATCGAGAAAACAAGCAAACGGCCAGAAATCGCAGAGTTCACCACGCTTCATGCAGTTCCCGATGCAATGCAGAATACATAAAGTTCGCCATGTACAATATCGCTAACCTCCTTAGGCTTTATGCACCTGGGGAGTCCAAGTTATGGAGGCTACGATTGGATTGGTAACTTTCCAGGAAAATGTGATCAATAACGCCTAATGCGTTGTCACAACCGAGTCCACTTCTGCACAGGGGTCGATGTAAGCACCTGCCTGCTGTTAATCACGAAGAAACAAATAGCAGAGTGCCATACAGTAAAGGCATACAACAAGGGACGCCTCTGTGCGCTGGTGGTTTCCTCGGTAAGGTAAAATCGTTCACAAGTGCATCAGACTATGCATGGTCTTCCTTCATTTGTCGACACGCCGGGAACGGAATTACTGACCAATCATCTGCGAGGAACTCGTTTTGGTCCTCTGCTGAACACGCCGGGGTTTAACCGGCCTTGTCGTGATGGATTCCTCTCCGGAAATGGAGAGGTTTGGGGTGTCCGATGCAGACTTGGAGTACATGATGGATCCTATGAAACGTCGTTATAAGGAATCACGAAAAAAGAAGATATACGGTATTTTTGCCTCCGACGATTCTGGATCAGATGGAGAGAAAAGTGGTTTTGGCGGCCGGGATGCTGGTTTGAAGCGTAAGGGTGCAAATTATTCTGCACCGATCACATTTGTCAGTGGTGGAGTGAAGGTAGGGCCTTTTAAATATTGCAGCCTGAAGTACTGGATGCTGAGGTTTTTGACAGGGCCAAACCCCTCTGTATGCACCTTGTCGACACCAACCGTGGTTGGGTACTATTGGCTCAGTGGGTCAGTTCTCCTTGAAGACCCCCACTTTCACCGTCCGATAAGTTCACTGCTTAAAAAGATCAACATTACATAACCGCAGTTCTCCCTAAGGTCATCGGGCGCACCTAATAGACGTGAAGCACCTCGGTTTCGTTACCAGTAACTGTCTGCAATATCGCATGAATTTTCTGAGGTCATCCGTCTGTTGCAAACTGATGCATTCGGTAGTTCAGGAATAGAAGTGGTGTCATCCGAAAGAGATTCCTAGAAACTCGACAACTTACGGGGCATAAGCCACGTCATCTTTTCTGCACAACTAATCTCGTCAGGGGACGTGGTGGAACTGGTTTATCGTGGAGATGCTTTATGTACAAACAGTGCAAAATCGGCTCTTTTGATCGCACAAATTATTGCGAATACCGGTCTGGTGTAATAGCGAATATGGGTCCAGTCGGCGTATAGTAATACCTATTGACAATGCAGTCCATTTGTTCCGAGTAGAGGGGAAGTTACGCCGGAAGTCAGAATGGCTATGTAGACGTGCAGATTTCAAGTCATGGTCACAAAAATATTGGCTTGCCAGTGTATGTGAGGGTCTAACCCAACAGTATCACGTTACCACGTAATTCCCTGTACATCTGATGGAACGTGGTGGTCACTTCAGGCTTTAAAGTACCAGCAATTTTAACATATACGGTATCCTGAGTAACAGAATGTGTTGGTGCTGAGAGTAATGTGTCATCTAACGTTGACCACGGTGCGACGAATTACTGCAACATGACTTTTTCTTCAGTAGGCGGAAAAACAACGTGAAGTGTCAACAACATCAGGAGTAAGACTATCGGACATGGTGCATTCTAGTTCTTTGGAGGACAATGGCGGCAGAGCACTATCACCCGTTGGGTGGTCCTTTTGTGTGAGGTTCCTACTGATAGCTGTACTAGCCAGTATGTCCTAATTTGTGTCGTTTGCTTGGCAGGCGCATTTAGTCGAACCAAGGTAACCATAAGGAATGCATTTATGGCTGTCGATCTTGACCTCCCCGATTCGGATGTCCCGAACACCAAATATATGCTCACTGATGTCTTTGGCGTGGTAAGTGTCAGCTCAGTGCAGCATGTACGCAACGAAATTTTGTCAAGTTCCTGGTTAAAACGCTGAATCACTAAAGCGTCACCAGTCAGACCGATGTCGTTTAGGCATGTGAGACGCGAACCAATCCACCGTCTTCTGAGAAAAGCGCCGCCTTCATTTCTGAACCCGTGGTGACGAAGGCTTTAAGGGACAAGGCATACCACAACCGCGCGACCGTAGTTGAACGTCATTGTGGGGTATTATTGCCCTCATGTTTGGCGTTCATACGATTTTCCTCGTAAATGGTTAGACCCTACACAGTATGCCGGCTAACTGATCCACTTTCCAGCCCTAAATGCTAGCGAAGTCTAAAGTTTATGTCGTTGTGATGGGAACTCTTTTAACGGGGATCGCAAAAGCCGGTTCAATTTCCCGAGTCATTTGAACGTCCTACGGTTCACTGGCATGGGATAACTGCAATGAGCGAGATGGGTGTTCGAGCAGCGTCGGTTTTACGGTTATACTCGAACTCGAGTTTACTCGTGGTTAAGGTGCGAACGTACGGACTAGACAGACCGGGATTTGAGCTCGGGCTTGGCATCTCAACTGTTCGTGTTTATGCTCGAGCAGCTTGACGGTATTTCAGCCGTTGTGTTTCCTTGGGGAGTCTTGGTAGCTGTGTGCCGAGAGGGTGTTACAGCTGACACCCGTTAGCTGGCGTAGACGGTCCCGGGAAATCAGCGAACATGAGCCGGATTTTCGTATGGTGACAGTGTGAGTAACTCTACTGGGAAATATTTCGGAGGTCGCACGTTCTTAAAATCGAGCCATTTCTTGTGGATGAGTTAGCAGTGAGTTTGACGACTTGAACAGCATACGTGCGATTGTGCTAGGCCATGGCTTTTATGTACTCTTTTACCCCTTAGACGATAAGTTCCGTATAAATGCTCTACGTTCTGTCGCAGGTCCAACTGATGTTTCGATATCATTCTTACTACCTACATTATTACAATTGGCCTTCGGAGTTAGTGATTTCCCGAAAGGACATAAAAGAGCTTGCATGGGGAGGATTGTCTCTAGGTCATGGATCGACAGTCCTGTCCTCTACAGGGCTTACTGCTGAAACGGACGGAGGATGCAAATGTATAGAGTAACTTTCTAGTGCGCCGTCGGTTAACTGTGAGTCGCAGGATACGTGCAGGTATCGAATCATCAAGCATACTAGCTGCATAGGTCACCGGACGTTTTATGGTCCATGATTTTGTGTGAATGGATATTAGAAGTTCTGATCCATTTCAAAGTAGCTGGCACCAACATACCAACTATACGGTCTGATATGGTAAGCCACTAGAAAATAGGAAGCTATTGAACACTGACAGAGCTTTTCAGTGTCTGTCGTTAAAAAGTAGCCAATTACAAGGTCGAATTAATCAGATTGATGAGAGTTCTCTACATCATACTTAATGTGTCAAAATGACAGTGAGATGATAAGATATGGGGCAGTGTTCTGTAATTGCTTAGAGGGTACCCGAGACTGCAGATAGCAAATATCCTGAGAGGCGTCAACGTAGCATGCACACTGTTGACTATTCAACATTTTATCGGGGTTCTGCAAGCTTATAGGGAGTTCAAGGAAAAGATAGAGCTTCACTTTCAAGAAGCCACCCTCTGGAATGCCCTCAAGACAGTGCTTGGCTGGGGGCGAGATTGCTCCTTGACCGAAAGGTCCGAACACGACCTCTGCATCTTGACTTTCCCTGTTTAGGCTTGGGCAACTTGGAAGTTTTCCAGCCCTGGTGCTTCCTTCGAGTGGCATGGTAACTAGGTACCGGAAGTGTGTTACGATTATTATTATCTATTTCGGCCTATGTTAACTAATCCTACCCAATTGAGAGCACTTTGAATTATGAGGATACATTTTACGTAAGGGGAAATTTTCAGAATAAATCTCATTCCAATATCAATAAGGAAATAGCGTCTCCTCAAACCGTCAGCTTCAACTTTAACAGAACTTCGAAGCTGGAAGAATCATCGAATGCCCCGTCAAATGTTGTTTTGCTTTTGAAGGAGGAGTGCGGTTTCTACCTTGACAGAATATTTGAGCTCGAGTAAGATGTACCATTTGTTGGTAGTCTTACTCCAGAGACGTCTATCATCGTTAGCTTGCGCATAATCGCTGTGTTTTCCATTGACAAAACCAATGCGCTACACTGCCGAACGATGTCGATTATTTGGATAAGGTTTCACACCGAAAAGAGGGCTGATTTGAACTTGCCTATCAAAAGCATTCGGAGAGTTCATACATACAAGCGGCTACTTGAGAGTCCGTTGCGTCCTACTGTTATAGCGCGTTTGTTGCATCTTATGTAGTTGCTTTTAGTTTGAGATCGTTCACTTACTCGTAGCATAGGTCTGTCGAATAGTCGTTTTAGAAGTATAAAACATTCTCCTAGTTTTTACTTGTGGGTCATACTCTAACCATCCGTTGACGTGCGTGAACAGTCCGACTACTGACGTATGGTCCGATAGTTATCTTACTAATCTCCATTTCCATAGAGCAACTGATAACTACTAAATCGTGGTCTCAGAATTTTTTCAGGTTTTTGCGTCAAAGGTGTGGTTGTATCCTAAAAAGTATAATAGGGTTGTTCGGCAAACTTAGCTATCACGTTGCCTCCAGTTAAGTTAGGACCAAGCCACTTCCGACCACTAAATACGATCGGTGGGCTTGATTTTTTGGTGTCATTTGTGGCTTTTGGATAATGCAATCAATTATAACTAGTTGGATTGTGTAGGCATGAGGTGGCGGGGCTTCTACGAATTCGGCTACCTGCAATACAAATCAGCCGGTTGTTTTCGGAGACTGCCTTTTCTGCAGAAGCAAAATATATACCTAATTAAAGCAGTCAAGGGGCGAGATGGGCCAAGTGGTTAGAGTACGAATTTACTGACCGGAAGGTTCGTGGTTCGAACCCGACCTGCCTCTCGACTTCCCTTGTCTAGGCTTGGGCAACCTGGCAGTATCCCAGCCCTCGTGCCTCCTTCGTGTGGCATGGCAGCTAGGCACTGAAAGGGTGCTACAGCTGAATGATTTATTTATTTTTATTCAATTAAAGCAGCCAACTGTCCGTCTCCGGGTGCGGAAAGAACGGTAGGCGCTTCACAGTATTGTTGTTTTTCAGAATCCAGTTAATCAGGATCTTGAGCATATTAATTGTCAAGGAATAAGTGCATCTCCATTTAAGTCATTGTTTCATATTATGCATTCAGCGTGAGCAATCCCTCTCCAGATTTCATAGAGTTTCTTATCCTCACAGGCTGGTGACAATACAGAAAAGGACGATCAGAGCGGCCCACCAATTTCAGATGACGAAGAAGATCGGATGGAGGCCGGCATCCGTGGCTCCGATTCCGACTCCTCATCAGATGCGAAGCCGTCTACGAAGTCTTACAATTAAAGCAGCCAACTGTCCGTCTCCGGGTGCGGAAAGAACGGTAGGCGCTTCACAGTATTGTTGTTTTTCAGAATCCAGTTAATCAGGATCTTGAGCATATTAATTGTCAAGGAATAAGTGCATCTCCATTTAAGTCATTGTTTCATATTATGCATTCAGCGTGAGCAATCCCTCTCCAGATTTCATAGAGTTTCTTATCCTCACAGGCTGGTGACAATACAGAAAAGGACGATCAGAGCGGCCCACCAATTTCAGATGACGAAGAAGATCGGATGGAGGCCGGCATCCGTGGCTCCGATTCCGACTCCTCATCAGATGCGAAGCCGTCTACGAAGTCTTATAGACGACCAACCGTTTCGGTCGGAGCTGGTCGGAGAGCAGCCGTTGCAGCAGCTGGATCGAAGTCAGCTGTGACTGGTTTTGGTGCATGGGAACGTCACACCAAAGGAATCGGGATGAAGCTTTTGGAACAAATGGGTTATCAACCAGGAAAGGGACTTGGTTCAGAGGGTCAGGGTATCGTAACACCGGTTCAAGCAACAGTCCGAACAGGAAAGGCGGCTGTGGGTTATTTCGGCCAGGAATCTGCACCTGCTCCGATTCGGGGAACGGATGTTACTGAATCTGAAGTTACTGAAAAAATAGGTATGGTCTTCCGCACGCACATCTCATGTATCACAAGCACAATGTCATTTTCCAGTAATTTCGAAGATTTCGTTTTGGATTCTGTGCTGGACATATAATTTACATGGTCATCCATATGATCTATATGATTTATATCAACCTCACCGTCCATCCAGGGGAGTATCTTGCACAACTGTGCACAGCGCGGTTTTTACATCCAGGTTGTTAATTGAGTCGTTTAGAATGTACCAGAGAATGAATTAGAAGTGTCCGGCTTACTGAGGATAAACAGCGCTGTACTTGTCTAAGGACAAGCGTGGATGAGGTGAAATATGTATACAAAGGTTTAATACGAGTGTAATAATAAGCAGACAGAAATCATGACACTAACCTCCATAATCTAGTTCTCCAATCGACTGTCTCAAGAGAAAACATCCTAGTGGTAATAATATTTGTGATTAACTTTTGTTTGACAGACAGCCATAACCTTCATCGTCTGTGGACACTAGCACCTATGCCACACTGTTACCCGATATTAGCTGTCCTCGATTGGTCGCTAGTTAAGCCGATAATGGCGCCTGGTAGCATATTTTGGGTGGGCTGTGCTCACCGGAGAAGATTAGGTAATGAAGCTCGAATATAGAGTGAATCAATGTGTGGTAAATCGATATTCATTTGCTCCACACTAACCACTGTTTCTATATTAGGACATGTGTTCACTGTATATCTAATTCTTTTACTTTTTGTGAATCCGGCTGGATTGGATGAGCGTTTTTAATTGCGATTCACGTTTCCTTGGTTGATCCCTTAGTATATGTTTCGGGCGCATATGTGAATGATCACTTTAGCCGAGGTGGAATCTTCCATCACTTGTCAGGAAACCCCTCACAAACAACTCAAATTGTTTCAATTATTTCAATTTGTTTCCATGGATTCCGTCGACGGATGATTTCCGTAGCTCCTGGAGATATCCTTTCGAGATCGAATATCCAGTGGCATTCCTTGAAATGAAGTGTTCATTTTAGGCTAGTGTGTGACTTCTTCGTTAGTGCTGCTTCTGTATGTTCCCTTGCATCTTTAGGAATTAGAGTTTGGTCTTCATTGTGACCTTGGTGATGTGCCACCGATAAAGTGTAATGATGGGAAATGAAACTTAACGTGAATCATGCCGTGAGGATAATATAAATCAATCGATCGTCACAACCAGAACAGTTGCTGGGTCGTCGTTCGATGAGTCGGGCACACCAATCACATCGCTCAAGTGTGAACAACTTTTCCCCTGTTCAGACGTGATAATTCAGGTGCGTCCAACGTGCGTTGGTGGAGTAGTGGTTACACACTCGCCTCGCATGTCAGATATCCGGGGTTCAAATCCCGGCACGGCCATTGGATATGCACTGCTGATGAGCTCTAATAAGAGCGAAACTCGAGTCCAGTGCTTCCCTTTGGTGTGGACTCACCGGAATAATTACGCCAGAACAGGAACATGGCCGTTCAAACGAGAGTGGTGTGGCTATGAACAAACATACCTATCCCGCAAAACTCCAAACTTGTAATATAAATCAGTCGTGTGGTTTTTTTCTGTTCGTTTACTTCCATCCTTGGACCATCTTTCAGAGGGCCCGCGGTACAAAAAGAAGACGGGCAAATCTACCCGAGTTACTTATGAATACAAAACGGCTGATGAAATAGTGGCCAGTATTTCTCCATCTACTACTGCTGGCGCCGTGAAGCGCCACGGCTTGTTTCTAGAGAATAGGTGAGTGATTTTTATACCAAAAGCCTTAACCCAGCATCTTGTGTGTGTCGCACTCTTCAGTAATGACATGTCCAAAGTGATTTGCGTTTAACGGACATTCTTATATGTCCTTCTCTGGGATCCTGGATTTCTAATGAAGCTATAATGGAGGTAAAAATTTATGCTTACTGTGAGCTTTCTCCTCGAACAGGCCGCTTGTCGAATTCCACCCGACTGCACACAGTAGTAACACTTATTTCCCTGCAAGACCAAGCTGGCGTTTGACGGATTTGCGTGCGCCGTCGAACTTGTTGCCTGCTGGTATAGCTTTCCTGGCATCAATCATTGATAACGACCTCGATGACATCCAGTTATCTTGTGGTCGAATTGGGGAAGTCGGACAGACAGCACTGAACACCGCCAACATAGCTCCTTTCACATTTTGCCACGCTTCATCCACATGCTCTTTGCCACCACAGTATTGGTTTACTGTGGAGTGTTGTTGGGCTAGCCCTAATCGAAACGTTGAGCTATCGTCGTTCTTCGGGGATAGTGGATTGGCATGCTTCTTACTGACTTGCGAGGGCCTGAAGGGAAACGAACTATCAGGCGTGCACGCACCATGTCGTGATCGGAATCAAGTGGTGTGCCCCAGAATGAACGGCAGTCTTGAATTGGGGCTCTCCGCCGGTGGCTGATGGCCATGTGGTCCAACTGGGTCCACGGTTGATTTGCAGTTGGTGGCCGCCAGGTTACACGGTGCGAACGTTTATGTTGCAAGTTCGTACCTGCCAGAAACAGTTCATGATCAGCACACAACTGAAGGAGTCGATTTCCGTTGTCTGTGCGGCGAGAACCTACTCCGAAACGGCCGCCCAACTGTGATTCCAAGGAGATCAGATGACCTACTTGAGCATTCAAATCGCCTGCTTGATGAATGAGCCCAGATAGCTCTCGATAGAAAGTATCCTTTTCCGCATCAGAACTGCAGTCCGTTGGGGCATAAGCCGACACAACAAACAAGCACCGCTTTTTATGCCGAGAGGCATTGAGCTTGACTGAACCAGACAACCGGAAGGCGCAAAGACGACTGTTCACTGGGATCCAATCCCTCAAAGCGCGTTCAGCTCTGGGGCTGAGTGCAACTCCTACGCCATATATTCCACCAGTCATCGCTTCTGGGTCACCGGACACACGAAGGCTGAGATGCGTAACCACGCTTTCATCTTGTATGCGTGTTTTGGAGACACAGCATACATCAATTTAAGGGAGTATAATGTCTCAGCAAGTATTGCCTGTTTACCAATTCGACATAGAGTACGGACGTTAAAAGCTTCTATATAGGAAGGATCTCGTGGATTTATGAAGGTGTTATTTTGTTTATTGTTAGTAAGCAGTGACGAGCATAAGGACCTTCGGTCAGATAACTGACAGTCAATTGGCCCAGAGACGTTTGCTTGTGTAGTGGGAAGGAGTTGGGGAGGGACATCGGTGGACACCGAACTGCGCGGACAAATGATACTTCCGGTAGCCCAGGCCGAGGAGGGGGGTTTGGTTGAGGTAGCCCGCCTTGAGCCTTTGACTCAAAAGTCTGACCCACAAGGCAGTGTGAGGACATAAGGTTTTGTTCGGGGACCGGACCCTAGCCTCTGATTCAAAAATCTGATCCACGAGGCAGTGGGAGAATGTAGGGTTTTGTTCGGGGACCCTGCCCGGAGCCGATGACTCAACAGTCTGGCCTACTGGGCTTCAGGGGGTTGGCCCAACCCAATGGCGCAGGGAATAAGGTATCACTGTCTCATTCCTGATGCGGCTGCACACAGCAGTTGCCTTTGGAGCAGCACCGGGCTGTCTGACTTTAAAAGTATTTCGACCGTATTGGATAATCCACCGGCGGTCACGGTCAACCTTGGGCGATCGGAGTGTGCGGTTTTTGGAGCCGACCTTTTCTAACCTGTCCTTCCTCGTTGAAGGCAGCATAGCTGCTTCCATTAATATGGACATGCTGGTCGCCTGGAGGAAACACCTTACAGCCTTCACACTCCTATCACAGAGGACGGTACGACATTATCCCCAGACCGCATCGTAGCACGATTACTTTATTACGGGGTCTTGTTGCTCCCCTTTGACCTTCCTGGCATGGTTGCACCTTGTGGAACGACGTTTCAGCCCGTGTAGCCCGCAGGACCATTGCAGCACTCATGCCCGACCACCACGTCACGGTGCCAGCTTTAGGTCGGAAAATAGTGTGGTTCTAGCCCATCCACCCAAAAGTCCGAGATCCTTATATTTCTAAACATTCACCCGGACAATCCGAATAAGAGCTGAGAGACCGAACGACAGGGACATCGGTTAGGTGTCACGTCTTCCACCGTATCCAGCCAATAACATCGCGTGTATCAAATTTCGGAAGGTGGGGCGTATCTTAATTGTGGAGCTTGTCAATCACCCTGTACACCTTTTTCGCATTCCAATGCTTTCTAACGGCTGTTCTTTGTTGGTCGTCGCAATTTCATCCGAAGTGGTGGAGCGCGAATTCACTGACCGGAAGACCCGTGGTTCGAACCCTACCTCCGCCTCTCGACTTCCCCTGTCTAGGCTTGGGCAACGTGACATTATCCCAGCCCTCGTGTTTCCTTCGGGTAGAATGGCAGCTAGGCACCGGGGGGGGGGGGTTATAAGTGAACGATTTTTTATCCGAAGCCAAGGCACTGATAGCCCATTGACGGTTTCCCTCAGCATTTCAGTACTGTTTGCGGCCTTTTGACTAGCTCAAGAATATAGGCGACACTGATCCAAACAGTAGATAGCTACCTGTGTGCATTAGTGTATCCTTCGGTATTCAGCGGGTGAGACAAGAATCTTCTGTTTATTCAGCGTCCGGATATACTCTCTGTGTTCTTGGATCCACGCTACTAGGGATTTACCGACCTACACTCAAACGGATACATGGTGAAGCAGTCAATCTCAGGCCCGAACTTTTAGCCTTGTTTTTGCAGCTCAGTTCCGTAGAAAATCAGAAGTCTTGCTTGATGCAATACAACACTGAAACTTGAAAAATAAGAACCGTTTATTTTGACAACGTGGCCAGATTGCTTGAAGTTACTTAGCGGTTTCTTGCACATGATTGGTGTCTCATCTATCGCACGAGTATCGGTGCGTTATTATATCGTGTAGTATAGATTGACTAGGAGTTGAAGTCAGATGGTATATGTTTTCAATCTACTCCTGACTTTTTGACTGTTTTTATCTAGTTTCGAGCAGCCTGTTAGCAACTCAGTCTTTGTGTTTTCTTTGAGATGCTCGGCAGCCATGCTTCCGTAAGACTGCATCAAGTGAACGAATAAAAATGGTGAAAGGCGCATCACTTATGCCAACTCCCACGGATGTCGTTCGTCAGTCTTAGATCATCAATCATGTCATCAATCACGTTCAATGTAAAGTCGATAGTTCGCTTATTTTTCCCAATTGATTCGGTCGACCGGTGAAATATGTCCTTAATCTGAAAGACCTTGTTTGTTTCATCCATTAATGCGCGCGACTTTCCGTTTGCCTTAGTGTTAATTGGCAATTTGGGAATTCAGGGGAATACTTATTCTAAAACTGACTACTCCGTTATTGCTTCCAGTGAGATGTCCAAAGTAAAGGTTATCGATATGACCAGCAAAGAGCAACGTGTCTACACGGGCTATGAAGCAGCACTTTCACGCACAACAAGGTACAGTCAGAAACCGGAAGATGGCATTTCTGGAGCGTCTGGTCCGGACGCGGAAAGCAAAAGACTGGAGCAACGTCGAGAAGGTCGTTTGTTTGACTGTCCAGCCTTGAGACACAATGTCGGACTGCTGCTACGTTCAAGCGAAGAAAGTATCCGAAAGCTGGATCGGATGGCGCGTTTCGAAGAGGACCACTGTGTTGCTCTGGAACACGAGATTGAAAAATTGTCTGAGGTAAACAATGCCAATTTTATGCTGTTATGTTACACTTATCGCATGGGATCGCAGTTAACTTTGAGGGAGGCTGCAATCTTAGATTACTGTGAACATTCGAGTCCCATGACTCACCCGCAACACGTTTCCTCCTAGTACTGCTTTGCTGTTCGACAGACAGCCTATCTGCCTGTTGTGTAATCATTCCTACAATACGGGATATTTTTTTGAGAATTGTTCTTTGCTTTAACAAGTGCTCATTCAGATCATGGCCTCCCTAGATGTTACCAAATGCACTTCAGTTTCCAATGCGATGCCCGCCCCATAGAGATTGGTACATCCGGTCTTTCCGACTAGCGTAATCTATCTGCACCAAGTCGTTTGGAGAATCTTCAACTTGCAGTTCATAGCGGTATAAAACCAGTGTTCAATTTCATCTGCAGTCGATCATTTGTGTGTATCTTTCAGCCCCCAGGGTCCTAACGTAGACCGATAATACGTCATATGACCAGTCCGTTGTTCGTAGGTTTTCTTCCCCAAGTGCATTCAATCTGCGCGGAAAAGTCCAGTAGCTATTCTGTGTTTCCATAGAATTATCGATCGTGTTCGTCGCACATATGTTTAGGGAGATTTGAAGCCTAAAAACCCTTGTTAGTTGTTGCGCCCCATACCATTGCGCTACAAGTGGCTGGTTAGCAGTGCTTTACCGCGCGCTTTCAACTATTTATCCAACGATAGATTTACAAACGGGGCTCATGTGACTTTTTTTCGAGCACATTGCTCATATTTTGTGGGTAATGAGGAGATTCCGAAGTTCTTTTAGGGATTCCATCCTGCAGTTGATACCCTTGTCTTCTATACAACTGTTACTTCATCAGCAATGTACCTCGCGAATCTCTGCACGGAATGTAGTCTCTATTGGAACTTCAGAAGCTATTGCCATCACCATTTACTCACAAAAGGTACCCCACTGGGTCACTCGTGTAGCTCGTGGAAGATTGAGTCAAATGACCTGAATTTACTGAGCGCAAACTGCAAGCCAAACAGGCGCTCGCGGTTGAACGGTATTATTTTCAACTACTAGAATGTCATGGGTACCGTGCCCCTCAAAGATCCCTGAGATACGCTGATGGTTTCCAATGAGGATAAAATATCCACACAATTTTCCATCTTTTCAGCATAGTCCGACTTCGCTTACTAAGTGAAATCCTCATTGGCAGTCCGGAATATGCTCCCTAACTGAGAACTGCGTGCGAAGCCAGCTCCGTATAGCTCTCCAAATCAAAACGCGATAGTGAAGATTAGCCCTTTTCAAGGCGCGTCATCTGCTGGTTACCTACAATCGGAAGCACGGGGAATTATACAGAATTATAACGATTATTGGGACATTAGCTTGTAAAATGTGGTAATGAGTACGAACCTCTGTAACAATGTTGGTCGGTATACCTCAGCAGCTGAGTTTGCGTGGCTGCCGTTTTCGAAGTTTGCTCAGCTACCATTGCGACTGCAACGGACGAGGAGTGTTTACCTCTTGCACTTTCAGTTCAGTTTGGTCCTTTAGCTCACAAACTGTGCGTCGAACTGTAGTGTCTCCGGTTGCTGCAGCTTCGTTTACCAAGGTTAAGCAAACTAAGTGAATGGGAGCCGCGGGTGTAGGCGATGACCCAATCTATACATCGATGATAAATGGTCAGTCACACAATGAAGGCGATAGCTTTGACGCAAGATTGTCACTGACTGCGTGACAGCCATATCTGTAGGGGCCAGCAACCATCGGTTTGTCCCATCCACATTCGAGGGGACGGCAGTTATGAACGTGACCAAATTGACTATTAAGAGCTATGCTTCACTGATAATTCACAGATTAACCACCTGTTGGTCGTCTCCATCCGAAACAAAGATGGACGAAGAGGCAAATGGTCCTCGGGAATGGGAAGCACATGACCTAAATAGCCTAGCTTTACAAATCTAGCCATTCGCCCTAGGATCAGAGGCCAGACCCAGTCCAGAAGCCGCTAAATGCCATCGAAACTTCTAGTCGTATCCTCATGTCCTTTGAATGATGCTCGGTGTTAGCTGATTTTCCGAGGAATGTACGGAGTCCTATGTTCTGGGGCGAACAGGTCGAACAGTCGAAAATCCCTCCGAAAATGCGACTGCAGTAGGATTTCTTGAACCCTGTCCTGCAGTGTGCGATGTTTCCCCAGCAGGCAGTAAAATGGACGGTCTTGAAAGGCGAAATATGCCCAGTTGCATATCAATTTGGTTTCGATTGGAGGCTCACTTGTAATCTAGCTGAATCTCTCTTTTATGATGTCAAAAACACCATACGAAAAAACACCGTACGAAAAAAAAGATCGACAGAAGACAAAGATGGTCGCAGCAAATAAGATTAAATATGGAAACTCAAATATGATGACCTGAAAGTGATTTCTTTTCCCATATCAGGAACACAACAGTTTCTGATACACCTGCGCCGGAAAAGGCGGCTGAGATTAGACATGAAATGGAATATACCGACTTCACGCGGACTAAAAGTTGACCAGGAAGTCTAAAGTCCCCTTATGGAATCTTCGGCCATCTATCACGTAGTGAAACGAATGAATTTAATGCAGAAAGATGTACTTCATCCATCTGATTTTATTCCGTGACGTGTACATTACAGGCGAAACCAGTCTAAGTTTTCAAACTTTTTGAATTGAGCAACCAGCAGAACTTTTCGGAGCTATCAGGCTTTCAGGAGCTGTACGGTTTTATGACCGGTTTATCACTGAACACTATGCAAGTATATACTCCGAGAATCAGCCATTCAGAAGTTAATAAAGAGCAAACGTCTCTGCTCGACCGTTTAAAAAATCAGCACATTTCTCATGTCTTTGTGGTTCACTATCACATTGTGTAGGTTGCTACATCTACAAAATCACTGAGGGTGGGCGAACCTGCGAATGGAAACCTTTCGGCTTTCCTTTTATATTGCCGGGCGATTTTCATCTGTTCACCTACACGGCCTACCCACGATGTTACTGACTTTCACATTAATGTCTTTTGATGTTTGTATGATGTTCCTTATTTCATCAGCAAGGCCTTTTGTTCTCGAGGCATAACATTGCGAATTAAACCTTCTTTTGTGTCCGTGCTGTATGCATTCTGCGTCTGGCATTTTGTTCATTTTAAGAAGTAATCCCATCCAATAATCACTTACTGGACCACGTAAGAGCCGGCGGCGGGCTGAATAGGTAGGGTGTTTATTGCTACTAGCTCTCGATAACTCTATTTGTTCAGCTGTGACACCTTTCCGGTGCCTAGCTGCCATGCCGCGGGAAGGCTGGGATACTGCCGATTTGCCCAAGCCTAGATATGGGAAATCGAGAGGCGGAGGTCGGGTCGGAACCTTCCGGTCCTTCCTTCCGGACCTTCCGGTCGGTGAATTCGCGCTCTAACCACTTGAGCCGTCTCGTCCTAACTCCATTTGTGAATTGTTTCGCCTTGTATGACACTTTGTACGGTAACACTTTTCCGTCATGACCTGAAAAAAGGTCAACCATATTCGGTCCAATTAGAGAACTGGTCGTAATATGCAGGCGAGATAACGTGACCCTGCGGCAGCCGTACAAAGACGCGGCTGATACAAAGAAGATCGTCATACAAAGTGGTGTAACCCAAAATATTTATTACAAAAGGTTTCCGGTTATTTCGCCGTAGATATATCTCCAAATGTTGGCATTTTGTTCTAATAAAATTGCTTGGTCTCTGTGGTTGGCTGCTTTCCGAGCCTCACTCAGATGAGCACCGATAAATCAGCCCCCTAAGACAGACTGAGTTGTACTCAAAGGTTTTCGCTACTAGTTTAGGTAAATACTGTTTTCACACAGTTTTTTTGGACAATCAGATACTCTTAGTCATTATGGTTTCATTGTTTCTGGTAGTTATGTTGCGAACCGGACTAAGCCAACTTCTGAGTAACAGACCATAATTTGCATGCATACTACTTGTTCCCTTTGGGTTTATTATAGACGGTTAAATGTGAATCCGTTGAAGTACGGCGATTGCGTATCGCCTTGGATCTGATCGCCCGGTTCGAAGCTGAATTAGGGCATGGTGATAAGGGCCTGTCACCAGAAGATATTGCAACGTGGATGTCAAGAGTGAGGGAAGAATGCGCGGAACTTCCAGAAATGCCCGTGCTCATGGCAGCCATGGCTCGACCAATGTTGGAATCGTCTTTAAACAAATGGAAACCATTATCAGTGAGTCTCGTGCACCACGTTTGAGATGAACTTTTGGCAATAGCTATTGATTAACAATTTCTGTGCATTTCACCTAATGAAGTTACAGAACAAAAAGGAATTTAATGTGAACAGAAGCACCTCGAAAGGCACAAACGAGGAAGGAAAACATTTTCGAAATGTGGTTGCCAAATTCTCACGCAAATCCGCTCTTTCTCGTCTGCCCTGTTTGTGTAGTTGCTTGAACAAATGATCGGCAACTTAACCTAAAAGCTTACGTGGCGAATCTGATCGACTGTCACATTGATACACAACACTGATACTCTTTTATTTATTTATTCTCAGGATCCTTCTTATTGTTACCAGTTGTTATCGAAGTGGAAAGACTCCTTCCAGAATTCGCTAGCGTTTGATGTCATTCTGGAAACCAGTTGGCTCAACACGCTTCGGCGCACTATTGTGAATGACTGGGAACCAAGAGATTGTGAGCCTCTTCTACAAGTCTTGGAGGCTTGGCGCCCGTTGCTTTCAGATGAGCTTTTGGAGAACCGTATCCTGAATGACCTAGTCCTACCGAAATTGCAGGTTGGTAATGATGAATGAAATTTATACGCTACCATTGTGCTTTGAGCTGCATCATTGTTTAGCGACAAAACCAAATTCTAAAACTTTATACTACAATTCAAACCAATCCGTGCTGGAAATCTACCCTGTATTTTCTACATATCCAACTTATATTGATTGGTAGCTTGGTTTATGGTGTTATATTGCGCAAAAATACCTCATGTGGATGAAAGTCAACCTCTTTATCGTGTGGATTCGAGACCAATCGCTGGCTGCTACTAGTTTCGAACGTATCCAGTAGCACTCTCGTAATATCTGAAATCGAAGATCAGTCATGTGTGCTGATACTGTTGTCGAGTTAATATCTGAAATTCCTAATCGAGATCAATGTGCTGACGACCTTACACCATCTTAGAATGACTTATTGGCCGTTCAAGTTAGGCTAGGTGGACTATTGTCTGTTGTGGGGTGTAGCCATGAACTCCATCCTGAATTTCGGATAGTGGTCCATTCTATTTCTACTTGCTTTTTACCCCATATTCGTTTCACAACCAACTGACGTTTCGTTTCACTTTCTTTGTTTAGGATGCAGTATCCTCGTGGAATCCTCTCACAGACACCATTCCTATACATACTTGGCTGCATCCATGGCTTCCATGGTTTGGCGGAACAGAGCGTCTGGCTTCCATACACGACACAGTCCTGCAAAAACTTGGCTACTGTTTCAACAACTGGCACCCGAGCGACGGCTCTGCCCACTCTGTATTGACTCCTTGGCGCAGCGTTATTTCACTGGGAGCTATGTCGGCTTTTCTCGGCCGTCACGTGGTTCCCAAACTGGGACTGGCCCTTCAGCAATTCAAGGTATTCGAGTTTGCTTGTATAAACTTGCTAAGGTTTTCCGCCATTACATAATGTGGCTTGGGTGATTAATTTCGCTTGAACGCTTCAACGAGAGATGAACTTCTTCTCTTTCATTTTCTGAACTTGGTAAGAAGTCTTTGGCCGATAATGGCCATTAATACATGGCAATTTGGCAGCACTGTCTCGGTATATGCAAGCAGCACACCATCATCAACATGGGCAGCAGGACATCACTGTTTAACACCGATCCTTCGCTGCCGTATGCCGCACACGGGAGCGTCAACTGAAAGACAAGTTAAACGAAAAACTCGATGAAGGTCTTCCATGGCCCTGGAAGTTGAGCGAAAACATAAGTGTATATTGGCAAATGTGATATAGATTATCTTGCTCTGCAGTGGGGTGCACGCAGCTAGAAATTGGAAGTCTGCAGACTTCACGGTGTACCGACCTCACTACCGATCATTGTGCATGGATAGATCCTGTTAGGACATTCGGCGAGACCAAGGAGAACAGACGGCCTTCCACCGGTTTGCAACTACGCTAATACCTTCGAACAACAGATACATCAAAGCAGACTGCACACTGAGCTGCTATGTACTACATTTTCTAAGCAGTTTATGCTGATGATCACCTGAAAATTGTGTGCGGTATGTTTCACGAACAAGTTTACCGCAGTACGGCAACGTGTTTGGGTGACTCGTACCTAGCAGGTGATGGATAAGACTAGAATCTTTTGAACCTTTTGCTTTCATTGACTTGGCACTATCAAAGTGTGCGACAGTGAAGCATCACTGATGTCATGCTATCGATGATGATGATGATGACCAGTTGGTGTGGTCAGCATCTCGTGCAACTAATCGCACTTCACTTATGGTCACCTACAAACGAATCGCTTTCGTTGTATTGCTACTGCTGTGATTCCCCGTTCCATTAAATCACAATAAACCACTGATTTGTCACGTCTGGATACCGCGAAACCATGCCCGAGAAAGTGTATTTGCCGCGTAGTGTGTGACGAGAGGGTCGGCACACTTGCTCTTGTTTTTGTTTTACAACGGGTAATCTGACCGTCAAAGAATCGTAGTATTCTAGCGTGTCCGGTCTTCGATCACCTATGTTCTTGAAAAAAATGCGCTTGCAGTACATGTCCAACTATGAGTCTCGCAGATTGCTTTGTTCGGTATCTCGGTATCTTTCCTGTCATTCATGACAAGAGACTGATGGATCTGATGAATATGCAACTGTCATGAAAAGAAGTTAGGAGCTCTCATGGCCGCGCCTAGCGTGAACGTTTGTTGTAGGTGCATACTTGGAATATTGGTTACTGAGTGTAAATTAAAATTGCTCAGGAAAAGGACATCAGAACTAAATGGGACAGCAGTGTCGGAGTTTAGTCATTACTCTCTCGGTCGGAGCACACAAATCCTGACCTTTCCAGACACAGTCCTCCATTTCATGCTATCAAGAGAAAGGATAGTGTGGAGCCTGCTCAGCCCACTGCGGATGTTAGGGAAAAAGAGATGCCTTCACTCATAAAGTCGTACAACTAGAAATATCCAACAGTCGCTCTTTTTCGATCAACAGAGTCAATAGTGCCACCAACTTTTCACACTTAACTGCAGATGCCCATTTCAAGTCACATTCTCCGTCCATAAAAACCTCAGACTGTATGTTTAGAACTGCAATAGCTGTTGGGTGAGGGGAACGTCAGTGTTTCACTTAGGTTTGTCGTGTTGTGCCAATGAGTAGCCCTAAAGCCAGTCAAGTCATTCAGCTGTAGCGCCATTTTGGTGCCTAGCGACCATGCCAACGGAAAGAGGCACGAGGCTGGGATACTGCCAAATTGCCCAATCCTAGACGGGTGTAATCGAAATGCGGAGGTTGGATTCCAACCATGAACCTTTCTGTCCGTAAGCTGTCTCCCTAACCACTGAGCTATCTCGAGTTCTCAGAACTAAACAGGCCGACTATCGGGATCTTCTGTTCTTGATCTATCAATATTTGCTTAGAGTTGAGTTCGTTACTCTTACAGCTTGACAGGAGTTTTTTTTATCGATTTTCTTTCATCCGGGCATGTTAAGTTGATCCACAGAATAGATTGAGGGGGGAGGTAATCATACTGGGGGCGAAGAATTGAGTGGATAGAAACGGATATCTTGGGAACGAACGCAAAAGTGAATCAATCGCATTTTTCTCTGTTTGGTTAAAGGTCAGCAAAATACACCTTCATAACGAATGATATGTCGGTCCACTCAAGGTAGTGGCGATTAATCCTGAGCTGCTAATAAGATTGACTGTTTTCCACTTTTGCGGCTGATATCTTCGCAGTTCTGTCTAGAAGAATTAGGAGGCCTAGAAAAGGTTATCGAGTGTCCTGCTAGTATAAGCGAGGTATCTGGAGCAACAGCAACAGTTTTTTTGAGGACACACTTGTTGTGACGGGACCATATTCATTTGTAAGCTATTTGAAAGGGACGCAGAGTCACATGGTAAGTGCGTAGGATCCATAACGTATGTGGTTGTAGATAAATGTGGTAATGAACCGCTGTGGGCATAATGTCACACAATTTAAGCATAACTAGTGCTTATTTCGTAAGAAAACGCGTCATCTCCACACATGCTACTCCTTGACAAAGACATGTTTGCGCTCCAATCAACGAGATTTTTCTCTCCGAACTCCTCAGCCATTGTCCTCGGAGTTGTCTCTTGTCAGGTCCAAAATGAATGCAGTGTACGAGCTGCCTCCATTCGAAGTTGGCTTTCGGTGGAAACTAAGTCGTGGTCTGTCTGTGAGCTTGTGGAAATTAATTTCCTCTTGTCACTGACTCTTTAGAGACCATTGTGCGCCTACCAGTTTGTTCGGTCGATCAACAAATTGTTTAAAACCGATAAGGTAAGGCGTTTCATTGAATGGTAACCGGGTGCGAGATATGATGATGCTGCGGAGAAGAATTTCTTGTATGCTGGAATAGCGTCGTTCGGCTGTAAAAACTGATGCCTAGCTATCATTCTGCCTGAGGGAAGCACGAGAGTTGAGTTACCGAGTTAGTTGGGTTGGTTACCGATGCCTGTACCATTCGACATGCTGGGTTTGAACAACGGGTTTTCCCGTCACTAAGTTCTTGCCGTAACCATTGAGTAATCTCGAACAGGAAGGTTACCCGGAAATCGGTGTATGGGCACGCGTACAAACCCCGAATTAGACTGGCTTGTGCATCGTTTCATCGCGAATCTGTTACTGCCAATACATCTTACTTTGCTTACTCAGGGCATACGCTGCAAGTAGGCAGTATCGACTAGCTCTGGGTCGACAAAAATATAGCCCACTTCAGATCCATTTCCATATCAGCGTGGTTGGTGACAGTGTGCCAGAATCGTTTCATTGATTCACCAATGGGTATGGCTCAGCCGGTGCTTTTTCATAGAACCGGACTTGAATCTTGCTTATAGTCCTGATTCTTCATTGGTTAGTGAAGATTCCTCTCGAAACCAGACGTCTGATTTTTCAGCCGAGCATCATCGTTTAAGTGAAGTCAATCTATGCCGAATAGACCAGGAGCGCTGTGTAGTTGTTTCATCTCTATTGGGAATCATCAGCAGTGCCTATCTTACGAAACTTCTGGGAGGTTTGAGCCACAGACTATGAGTTGATCATTAAACTGTTCACCCACTAGCGGGTAAACAGCAGTGGGTTGACTCGCACTTGGGATGTGGCGCCACTCCTCCTCTAGTTATGAACTTCAAGCCATATGCTTGTGTGTTGAATAGTTGTTCGAATGACGGCTTCTTAGTTGGAAGGTTCACTGTTCTCTGAGCTGCCTGAAGAATGAATGAATATTTCTTTTAAATGCAGTGTTATCAGGTTTAGTCATCAACTGCTATCCGAGAGGTTGAGATCCGATCTCTCAGGAGATCGACGCCATGTACACTGCTTACAATTCCCAAAGGTTTGAAACAGCATCTCTCAGGGACGCCATGTATACTGCTTACAATTCCCAAAGGTTTGAAACAGCTGTACAGAGCCTCTTGACTTTTCGACAAGTGGACTTCACTTAAATAATGAAACCTCGAAAGAAGACTTAAGCCTCCTCATATTCTCAACGAAATTCTAACAGGCCATTTAATACACTAGATTACAGAAGTAATCGCATTACTTGCAGCAAACCGAAAGTGTCGTATAACATTTTTGTTCATTTCTGCTATTCAGACATATCGTTGTTTCCTTTCACCTTACATTTTAGCTTAACCCGGCCTCGCAGAACATGGACGTATGGAACTGGGTTATGAGGTGGGCTGACTTGATTGGACCAGCAGTCTTGGTCAACCTTTTAGAACAGCACTTTTGGCCGCGTTGGTTAACAGTCCTCGCGAACTGGCTGCGTCAAGGTGTTGAAGCCAGACAACATGGGGACCATGTATCAGCTGGACAGGTCTACCAAGACGTTGGACGCTGGTATGCCGGGTGGAAGGGCCAGCTTCCTGCAGAGTGCATGGAATACGCAAGCGTAAAGGACACCTTGACTAAAGCGCTGTCCATGATGGAAAGAGCCATGCGTGGTCTCCCACCAGAGGTACGTTTGTACAAACCTCAGTAGCACAGTACGCGGTCTGGAAGCGCATAATTTCTGTCCTGTTAGATGTGATCTAAGCGATTCCGATATAGTGTTTATTATTCGTGAGATTTATAGCGTCACTTGATGCATCCCTCGCCATGACGCGGTCTTGTTAATCACCTTTTTCGGATTGTGCAGTGTATGAATTCACTGGCTATCGTGAATCGTTCAGCTTTGCTTTCATCAGTCGCTTGGCATTTTTCGTTACTAGATCATTTTAAGTCTCACATTGAAGTGTGCTTTCGGTTCCTAAAGACCTACGGTATATCATTTATAGGGATATACGGTGTTTTTTGCGCATTTTCTACGGTATATATTTATAGGGATATACGGTGTTTTTGCGCATTTTCCTGCATTAAAAAGTTACTGTAAGTAATTTGGGTGGCTACACTGTTTCTTATTCTCTCAGGAGCCCAAACCAACCACGACACCTGTGGATGCATCTCGGTATGCCGCCCCTTCCAACAGACCTGCTCAATTCACGAACAACTTCACCTCGACTCCTCTCGTAGCGCCACCCCCTACGACTCTTCGGAAACAAGTAGAACAAGTTGCTGCTCAGCGTGGACTCACTTTCCATCCCATACCGAACCGGATGGTCGAAGGACAGCAGGTGTACAGACTTGAGTCCGTGCATGTCTTCTTCGATCGGAATGTTAGTTACCTGTACAGTCACGTGGACGGGGGTTGGCATCCTGTTTCGTTTGCTGAGCTTATGTCGAAAGCGAGACTGTAGTGATCACTCGTATTGATTTTTTGTAAATTACGGGTTTTCTTTCAAATTGTACATAGAACTTTATTTCCTGGTGTGTGGCACAATACAAATTATATTTGAGTCTTTCTTGAGTTGATATTATGACCCCATGTCACCCTGTTTTCCGACCATCGTTAGTATGCATTAGACGCGCTGTCTAAGTGTGTTTTTACATAAATCCTGGGATTCAGAGGGTTATCTTGCCACACTTGTTTGTTTCTTGTGCCTTTCTGCCTGTAATTGCCACAGGTTTTTCTGTGGGAAGTAAATCGTTCGGCTGTCAATCTTTTAGTGTGTAACCCGAAGCGATATTGACAGACCGTTCGCTCTTAGATAGGAGCAATAGAAAAAGCGAAGGTCATCAAACGAAGGTAGATTTGAACTGTCGATGTCTTGGAAAGTGGTTTATCTATTAGCATTCAAAATGTCACGACAAGTACGTCCGAACACATGGACTAGGTCGGATTTCAGTACTACGCGCATTTGATGGCTTTCACACCCGGAGGTATAGCAAGCATATTAAGGCCACACGTTTTTGGCCTAACCTCCTTCTGCTCAGCCTAGGACATTCAAGTTTTCAGTATACGCCAAAACTTCCTGAATTTTCCGTCCATTTTAATTCTGCATTGGAACATCACGTCTCCGAGAGTGCAAAACACGATCAAAACTATGTCACTGGTCCAGTGGATGACATTGCATGATCTGTGCTCAACATGCGCGGTGGTCAGTGCCACTGGTCATTCTCCATGGTAGCGGTCGAAGTGTTCCCTATTTTAATTAGTAGTGACTGATGAGTTTTACTTTCGCTATGTTCAAGTTGATGATTCGCTTGTATCAACTAACTCCAGGTTATCGGTGACGTGTGGGGAGATTACATGTGTCTGCAGGAGTGACGGAAGCTAATGGATCAAAAGTGTTGACGTGCAATTCCCTGACGAGTCTCTGAGTAGTTTGCTAAAGATAACATGGAGTTAGTGGGATGCGATATGGAGCGGAGATCGCCGAGGGACACGAATAACCGGTTAACGAAAAACTCGAATCCGAGGGTTGGATGTGTCCAACACATCCCAAAGTCCTATGCGTTTTAAAGGTATGAACTTGAAGAAACCTCGACAGACTAGAGTGCAAATCAAACAGGATGTCATACTTACAGAAACGACATATTTTGGCACTGGAAAACAGGGTTAGCCTCGCCCTGGAATTTGCTGCATTTTGCATTTGATTTGGCTGTTCCTAATGGGGTTTCGCACCATTTTAGTTTGTGACGAGGTTTCGTGAGGTCCGTGTATGCCAAATTGAAGTTGATAAGTTCTGTGGTCAGGTGCTTCGAAAGCAGTGTAGTGAAGGTCTGTGGAAAATCTCAACCGGATACCCCACATCTAAAAACAATACCATTTATCCGGCAAAATCGGTGCTGGAAACTGCACAAGGATCAATCAGATCTGTTGATATCGAAGAAATCCTGTATATAGATCTGGTAGGGTCGGATGGCTAACGCAGAATGACCGACTTCCACTGTGGCTCCATAGGTGGCTAACAGCTATGTGGTTCAACCATGTCCATGACTGGTTTGTGGTCGTAGCATGGAAGTTATTCACGCAGAAAGCTCGTGCCGCGAGTCCGCGCTGACCTCAAATGGGCGATGCTTCCCCAAACAACTGGAGGAGTCACTGCTCATCTGTACCGTAAGTGTCGACCCCATTTATACCACCCAACTGTGCCTCTATCGAACTTGGTCATTTGCATCACCATCGGAATGGTGATATCCGGTCTTCTTACTGGCCGAGGCAGTTGTGACATTTTCGGTATAAGTATCTTTCTGAACTTCAGAAATGAATTCGGCCGGGGCGTAAGCCCCTTACCACATCGAAATTCGTTGACCTCAGTTGAGCCAATCAACCGTACAGGTGGTATTCACTTCAGCAAAGCGCCTTCAATTATCAAGTTAGTACAATTTCCAAACCGTAGTTACCAAAAGTCATTGCATCAAGATAGCCAGGAAGTGTGAGAATGAACTGTGGAATATCTGCACTCGTTCTAAGCGGTTTGAGGTGTATGCCCGAAGTATGCTTGCACAGCACACAGAATGGGAAAGCAAAGTTTGAACAAGGAACATCTATTCAAATTGCCGATTTGTCGGACAACATGGATATTAAAATTTGCCACGTGAATCGGGCCGTGTGATCTACGATGAAAATAGCTTATTTACACTTGGGAAAAGGGTTAGGGAACTGGCAGATTCGCTTTCCGAAATGGACCATTTGGAGGATAAGGAGGATGGGCAGATGGGGACTGTTGCGTGGAGAGCTGTAAAAGCGAATGATAATTCTTGGTTGCTTAGGCCAAGGAAAGAGCTTCGTTTGGAACTAAAAGGTCCGATCCACAAAACAGTGAGTAGTAGGGCTTTTTTTTGTATAACCGTACTCGGAGCCAGTGCCTCAATGGTCTCACCTGCTTGGCTGCAGAGTACTGTCCTAGCCCGAGGTTGAATGGAATGAGGTCTAGATGTGTCAGTCCAGATGCCACTGCAAACAACAGATGCGTTTGCCACTGCATTGGGTTCTCTCCAGGTTTGAATGGTCTTTCGAACGTATCGAGTAATTCACTGGTGGCCAGCATCAACGATTGCGCGATCGTGTTGTGCGGTTATTAGGACCGACCTTTTCCAAATTCCTTCCTTTAATATGGAGATGTTGGTCGTCCGGGAGGAGGGTCTTAGTGTTTTCATGCTACTTTCGGAGCAAACAGTAGAACTTCGCCCCTCTTTAAAGTCAACAACAGTGTGGGGTCTCGCTGTGCTTCATCTTGTGGCTCCTATTGGCCTTTATAACACAATTAAACCGAACGAAATTATGGCTAATGTAGCCTGAAGGATAACCGACCACCCCGGTAACCACTTTCCAGCGCTCTTGGTTGGACTATGAGGAGAAACATCCAGTCCACACGGTCAACCGCATTAGTTAGTTGTTAACATGACTTAATGGAAGAAAAAAGGTTATACTCGATAGAGTCACAGTACAATTATATATAATATAGTTGTCACTGATGATGATGATGATGATGACAGTTTCCGTTTTCGGCTGTTCACAGGATGAAGACATCAGTTACCCTAGTTTGGGAAATATGGAGACGCGCAAACTAGGACGCCCAATGGTCAGTTGTCGTTGTTCCATGAAGACGAATTTGGAAATGGTGCGTCCGAATGAGAATCTTCGTATCACACTCTTCAACTGATGAAATCCAGGGTTTTATTCACTAAGAAGTCATGATAACACGGTCTGGATGTATCTCCTGCTTGTTAGCCACAATGGTGCAGCATATGTACGGTTGGAACGGGATTGTTACAACCTGGAGGTTTAGACTGACTGAGGGGTGCACTATTTAGGAGTTCGATCAAAACTGACCATCAGATTGTAAGAATAACAGACGTTTAATTCCAGCACGTGTTCATTTTTGCACCTAGTTGAGACCGGACCTGTTAGCGTTTTCCACACTGTCGGTAAACAGCATGGCGTCTTCTGACACCTATGCCATCGAGATTTTGTGTACATGTGACGAACGACTATTCTACGTGGTGCCCGTTCAGTCTGAATTTTGTAAGGTAAAGATAGTGGGATAAAGTGAAGAATAACGATTACTCTAATAGCTTTTCGAAGACCACAACTTGTGCGATGCACGTACTTCGGTTAGAACGGCGCACTTGGCCATTAAAATCCTGATAACGGATACGGCTAACTTTAGCACTTTCTCACTTCTAACCTCTTTTTGGAAAGCCCGGATCACTCCTAGACCGTTATTTTCTTGAAATATGATCGCATCAAGTTGAAACAATTCCCTGATTGTTGTGGTGCACTGAGAAATTTTAAATAAATAAGCATTTTCAATGGGTTGATACGCTGGACGATTCCGTTACAAACTTACTTCAGACGCTGGCTAATCTTTTTCGACTGGATAGTTGTCCAGTTCCTACAGTGTTTAGGAAGCCAAACTGATAAAACTGAAAGCATATACGGGCCATATCGCTTCAAGAGCTTTCAACCGACCAGGAAGAACTTAAAGAGATCCAGATTTACAGCCTTAGATCAGTACCAAGCTAATCGAAAGATGAGATGAGGCAAGGAATGTGCCCTATTCGTCTCTGGTGGGGAATTTTAGGACTACCCAAGGACTACCCAAAGACACGTCTGCATGAAAAGTATTCCACGGAAAACGATAAAGTAACAGGGACATAAGGGACTCAATAAAAATCAAATCATGCGGATATCAGTTCTGAAGTCCGCCTCTGTAGGCTTGATATCAACAGGTGGGTATATAGATATACACCAGTGGTGCACAATGGATATGTCAGAAATCAGTTTATCCTTTATGAGTGTAATGGGTGAGAAAGTACTATCTTAACAAGATTTGTACGATCATTCACGTTTCATAATTACAGCATCTACCACGAAACTAAGTGGAATGTGACTGGTTGCTGATAAAATCGGAATTCAAATCTTGGTGCTGACATAGTTCCTATTCCGCAGCCTATTGACAACGATGGATGAACAGTACAAAATAACCGGCAAGGCGGTAGCAAACGTTAAACATCAAGTAACCAAATTTAGCATATTTAGGGAACGTAACATCAAGATATTTTGCAGAATCAGCTTCAGCGAATGGGCACTAGTTGGTGGTACTTGGAGCCACAATAGGTGGTATGGCTTCAAGATGTCTACCACACCTCAATGTGGAAACAATCTCTGCGAATACGGACGGGTTGATTTGTGGTGACACTAACATACAGTCTTAATGTTCTGCTCAAACAATTTGGCGTCTGCTAGTGCACATGCTCTGCCAAGCAATTCGTCGGTATATCGTATAAGAACACCACCGTCGTCGTTTCAAAGATTGTGTGTAGAAAGTGAATAGAAACAGGCGCAAGCCAAATTCGTGGGTGAGTCTTCCACGCATTTCCGCCAATCCGAACGCAGTGCTTTCGGTCGGTAAAGAGGCTGTTTAAGAGAGACGGGGAAGATTTTCTGATGCTCATTCCTGAAAACGTTTGCAACGGAAGTTTTCGATCGCCTGAATCGAGGGGGCTATTAAATGTAATGAACCAGACCCCAAAGCACCATTCTGGCTTCTAGGTCCTTCAGAACGGAGACAGGCCAATGTATTCACAGTAAATCTAGGCTAGATGGCGAGATGGGCCCAAGTAGTTAGAGCGCAAATTTACCGACCGGAAGGTCCGTGGTTCGAACCCGACCTCCGCCACTCGACTTCCCCTGTCTAGGCTTGGACAAACTTGCAGTATCCCAGCCCTTGTGCAACCTTCGGGTAGCATGGCAGCTAGGCACCGAAAGGGTGTTACAGCTGAACGATTTAAATCTGGGCTACTTGTACGCAAGCTGATGCACGTCACTAGGCGCTTAGTGACGTTTCTGCAGTGACAGCCTTGGAAACACAATGTTGTCTGATTCCGGGTGCCAAATGACTTGATGAGCAAGGTTCACGATATTCTCGTCTGAGTTACAATATCATCTAACTACACCCTAGTTCCGCAAACTCAAGTAGACTTACGCCGTTCGTTGGGCTTATTGCCCAAGGCACTAGTCACAGAAACTATCACGTATAACAGCCATCCTAAGGTTGCATTAAAGAATTACCTTAGTGGACTAACTTTCTAGGATACACTGTACACAAGCATCCGACTGTTATGAAGACGGGAGAGGTATAACGAGGGCTGGATCCGGTTAGCTGACTTACTTTCCCAGTTACACTTCATCGAATTTATATTTACCAAGAAAATGAGTCGCCGTAGAACAATAATCCCTTCGACGGTGCCTGTTCGATATGTAGAGTGAAAAGCTGCTTGCTAAGAGCAAACATATACCTCCCTGGGAGTGGATGTGCGCTACAGATTTTTGAATTTAAGTTGGGTTTATCAGTATAGCATAGTGAACAGTATCCACAAAGTGTCGATAGGGCTCCAAGGCCGTTTGATACAAAAGTTCGGAAAGGTCCAGTCTGGATAAGCAACGGCGCCTCAACTGTTTGGATGCGAATATAGTCCTCAGATATGCAATTCCTCTTTGCAGCTACGCACTAGTCCTTTTCTCATGTATTTATTGCCACCAAGTGGACTGGTGCACTTACTCAAATTTAATTCTGGTTGTATCACAGTTAGCAAGGCCGAATTTACTATAACAGTCATTCAGCATTTTATCACGTCAAGCGAGCATATAGTCGGGTTCGTTTATTTGGCTTCGACTGACTACTCATTTGAACTTTTTCACTGCGGTAACCTGAACATGAATATTGACGCTAAGTGGCTCAGTTGTGGAAGCAGCCTTAAAAAGGCTGACAGAGCTAAACACTCACAGTGGCGCATATGCCAGACGCGAGTGCATGCGCTGTACTCAGGCACTGATTGGATACTCCACACACAGCACATTGTTCGGTCCCGGCTGTCGTGACTCCGTTGCCCTACGTTACCTGGGAGACGTCTTTGTTAACTCAAAATATTGACTAAACAAATTTACCAGGCCAATCCGCATACCAACAGGAATCCAAAAGTAGAGTTGCCAACATACCAGTCCAACAGTTGGATGTACAGCCCAGGCATGACATTCAAAGAGTGTGGTAACAAAAATAATAATCGTTCAGCTGTAGCGCCCTTTCGGTGCCTAGCTGCCATGCCACCCGAAGGAAGCACGAGGGCTGGGATACTGTCAGGTTGCCCAAGCCTAGACAGGGGAAGTCGAGTGGCGGAGAGCAAAGAGTGTGGTTATTATGTACAGCTGGTTTACAGGAAACAGCATCACCAAAATCAAACCACAGCTGACAAGGCACATATCTATCCGTAGTCAGCTGTTGAATCAAGATGTTCTTATACGAATACCAAAGGACTTGAGCGTAGTCCACGTTCCCCGTAGACCAGCACTTGACCGAGATATTGTTTAATGCGAGTGAATACACCAAGGTTAAGATTAAGGACGTAGTATAATCCGATGAAGTTAGTGAAGCTGGCGGACAGTAAGTTTGTGACTGTGTTTACTAACTACGAAATCAGCCACTACAGTCATAGAATAAAAGCTGTTAAAAACATTCCACAGAAAAAAGACCATCGAGTGCAAAATACTGCTCTTTTGAGCCCAGCCAAAGATTTGCGCGCTATGTAAAATAGCGAAAACCCCTTTTATGTTCTTTGGTGTAACTTAGTCCGTATGAGTTTGTCAAAGCAACTCAGCAAAAGTAACAGTTGAGACACTTATGTGGCATGGAGTTTTTCACATTTGCATCGCTACTCAAGGAAGTGAACCGCAGACGAGCGGCGGAACAACCCGTTCTCCCAATGCCAAGTTAAGGTAGTTGGAACGTGTTGCGTATGCCAGCTACCATGTATCAAGGAAATCTCGCTGCTATTTTTTGTTGGTGAAAGGTTCACCGGAAGGAGCCGTGGTAAGACAACGCGAAATGAAATATGCCACTGTTAGACTGAGCGCCGTGGAGTCCTCGCGCCTTCCTGGTTAGGGTTCACGGGATTCCCTTCGTAAGTGGCTGTGCAGCAGTGTGATTAGTGTGAGTTAACCGCCAGGCTGATTGGCAAATGTCAACTACGTGGTAGTGTTTGCTCACTAGCCGGAAAACTACGTACTGGAATCTCCTTAGAGGTTCGCGAGCTGCGCATTGTTTCTGCTCCTTAACTAAAATGGAACAGCCGTGAAGTGCTTCTCGACGGACGGAGCAATCAGCAACTAGGGAACTGAAGTCGCCATTCACTTGTCATATTAGAGATGTTAGCTGCCCTTAGCCAAACCATATCAACTCAAGCACGAAAAGGAGAATAGCAAACGACAGACATCTACGCGAACAATGACGAAACCAACTACCAAGCTGGGCTAAAAAGCCAAACAACTAATGAATTCACCAGTTATCAAAATTTCTCAAATGCCTCTCGGCTTTCAGCACAGGTTGACTTCACCTGCAGGGTGAAACCTCGATTGAAGTTTCAGAATGCTTTCACTGACAACTATGGTCAGATTCTGTCTCCTATTTCAATGACGGTTGGCAATTGGTACTGATGTCTTCCTACTCTGACATAATGCTCAGATGCTTTTTCAAAGACGTGGAAACATTACTCCCTTGCAACCAAAGTTAAAGAAACAAATCCTTCCAACCGAAGTTTCGGTAACCCTTGGTCCTCCAATCAACCGATGTAGTTGACAAGAGACTCTGCAACTAAAACATACTATGCTTTCGATCCAGATTTATTAATCGACGATTGCTTCAACAGGTTTGTGTTACAACAAACCGGTAATGAACCGATGCGTCACATCGCTGAACGCTTTTAGACTATATCTGGTTTGACTTAGCTGATAATTTAACCTCGTTCGTCGGAACATTTCATAGTTGGAGTGCCGATCGACGGTAGGATAGAGCATCGCACGGCAAACCTATACAGCTTGGGTTACTAATAATCATGGCTGTTTAGGCCGTTGCGCAAAATAAATCTCCGCGACAACTTATCGTCCCTAGTAGTCTAGTTTCGTTTTGCTAGATGGAAATTGCGGGAGTTTCTGATGACCTGGATGACGGAAGCTGACAACTATACCACAGATTCATATGGTGTGGTACGCACGTGTGATTAACAGATACGAAACAGTCTTGAATATCTTGGGCATCCGATTCAGACAAAAAGAAAGATTCTATTATGTCTTCATTGAATCTGTTTGAATTTCATCATTCAAGTACGGTGCGCAGTAGGTTCTTATTGGTCAGCTTGGCTAAATGAAGCACCCAAAAGGAAATTGCAAAGTCTATTCTGGGAGGAATAATGGGAAAAATGGAACTCCAACTCGCGCAAAAGGCTGTTGGCCTCTCCCTATTGGCGAAGAAATTGTACATCCAATAGTATAATCACCTAAACTTACTAATCATGTGACGCTGTCAGTGATAACGTGACGACGATGAAATCCGCGAAATAATTTCAACTTCTACGGCATCAGAGTACATACAAAGCGCATGTACGCGCAGGCACATTTGGCATCTCAGCCCGTGTGCTTTTTTTGGGCGGTAAGGCAGCTATGACGCGAAAGGGTGTTACGGTTGAACGCCTATTCATAGTATCATTAGACCTGGCAGCCGAACACCGTATCTGGGCAGCATGTATCCAAGAAAGTTCTGAGACCGAATAATTCTGTCTCAGAAGACAGAAGCGAGGTTTATAATTAAACTAAGTCAAGACGCTACGATCAAATAGTTTGGTCCGCGCAGTGGAGTTCGGAACCAGAATGTCCCTTGCTCCACTAGAGAGAATGTTGTGGTTCACGTCAATGGTTTGTTATTAGGCTGCCGTTGTCCGAGTGTGCAGGAGACACGTTTCGAAGCAGAAACTAATGGTGGATCATTGGGGGCAAGAATTGCTGCTGCTGTTGCGTAACTGTAATATATTCGATACGAACTTGTCTTGCCCTTCAAAAGGGGAGTAAAACAATCAAAAGAATTGGGAAAAATATGTGGACTAGTTTGGCTACCCAGCAGACAGAAAAACCACGTACGGTGTACAACCTACTAGTACGTTCAAGAAATGTAAAATAACACTATGATATGGAATGATCAGTTTTCGTTGTAAGGTAAAAAGGTTTAGTCAGTGTGCTGACAGGCTGAGATATCTGGTGAATGTTCATAGAGCTAGCCTCAGCAAGCAGTCGGTTGTTCACCTCAGCCAACATATCCATCACAGAACAGCTCATGCCGTGAAGACGGAAAACATCCACAAATGTCGAAATATACCAACTTCCACCTGTTTCCGAACGCCATGAAACAAATCCAGGAAGCGTGGAATATACAATGACGCAGTCACTCATATGCGGCAAGGACAACCAAGATGAGGGATCCAGAGAATGTTCTGGGGGAACAAATCCGATTGACTGGGATTGTTGTGTCCGTACTAGTACTCCTCGGTCACGCTGCTCACCGCGGCAAGCTTGGATCACCAGGAGTTTGGGCTTTCCTGCCAATCCGGGGCATTTCGGGTTGGTGAAGTTGGAGACCATGTCATCAATGCTGACAAGTGAGCCGTCGCTGGCAATCAAATGATGCTCCATACCATGTGCGAGGATGAAAAGACCACCAGCATGGACGTCTTTATGTTCTGGTTTCTGAGAAAACTCCCTTACTGCTCTCTCCAACTGAACTGCTGTTGGGTCCTGCAGCACAGCTACACTGTAAGAAAAGGTTTGAAATAGGACAACGAGCCTTTCAACATCTATAGATGAACCTGTACGAGTTGAGACGCCAGATGTCTGGGAATAGTTCTCTATATTAACGATCAATATATAGCCACAAGGATTAGAAGACACTGAATAGGGCTTGAAAGATCGAACTGTCCTTGTGGTCGGTTGATCAACACTCATTACTATCTGTGATTCTTCCAGCTTATTCAGTTCGATATCCATTGCCTGAATCACACTCTCCTGATTGGTTTCTTGAAGGGCGCTGCGAAAATTCCCAAAAGCCAGAGGACCACATCTGGGCAGGGTATCCAAAAAAATGCGCAATCGATCTTTTGGTACAACTGGTGACAAGATTCTCTGACGCTGTTCTTCCGAAATAATACGAACAGACTCCAGGTGATCTAAAATTTCTTCAAGCCGGGTAATATTGTTCAATAAATAAACGCGCATGGTGCGCAGTAATCCCCGGTGTTCGTTGTCCATAAGGTTCAAAAAACTCTATCGTTGTGTATTCAATTGCAAACCGTTGGCACTTCTCGAGTGAATAAAGTTGGATCCCATGATCCCAGCTGAAAAGTATAAAAGCAATTCTGGAAAGAAGGTTCAATGCAGGTTACAAAATAAAACTACCTTCCTCAGAGCTAGTGCAAACAGCCAAAAGTTTAGCATTGGCGGTAAAGTAGGTTTGACTCGGGATTCCAATATGAGGAGCTGTGTTAAAAAATTCTCATCGGGGAACTAGTCAGGGTGTTTTCAATCAATTGGGGAAAAGCTTGGAACTGATTGAGAAGTTATCGTCTCAGAAGGGGTTGGTAAAGAATCGGCAGTCAAAGTGTTCAATGCACCGAAACTTTGCCATAAGTAGTGTCATGACTATATAACCCATACCTTTGCATAACCCATTAACTCGTGATTCTCACTATTTTCAGCTCATGTACTACAGTTATTAGACGATTAAAGCGTACACTACGTCTTCCTGTTCCGTCTCCCTTCTAATCCCGTCCTGGAACTACTCGACTCTCCTCTCGCAACAATCGTCTAGAAAAAAAATATGGATCATATTCTCCGACCTACGGTTTTTGATGCTGATCCTCACTCATCAGATGGCATGACATGAAGGACTCATTGGTTCCGTACTTTCAAAGCTTACATTAACTCAATCAAACCCGAAGGTCTAAATAAATCGGAAACTCCTATTCGTCACATCGATCTACAGTGTATGACTTCATTGCAGAATGCAGCGACTACAATTATGCGATAACCTTGCTGGAAAAACTTTACATCCGCCCGAAAAATATCGTGTATGTACGTCATCTTTTAGCCACATACAAACAAGAACCTGGTCAAGATGTCGACCAATTCGTTCAAAAACTGAAATCGCTTGCTAAAGACTGTGAATTCAAAGCAGTATCTGCTGTGGAACATACAAACGAAGCAGTTCGGGATGCTCTGATAACCGGAATGCAGTCGAATACCATTCGGGAGAAACTGCTAACGTGGCATGAATTGGACCTTGACAAAGCCCATGAAGCCGCACGAGCTCTCGAACTTGCACAAAAACAGTCACAATCATACATATACAGACAACCCGTTACTTGTTCGGTATCTACTCCTTTACCCATTGTTAATTCCGAAACAACAGTTTCGGCCGCTACACAACAAACATGTTACTTTTGTGGCAACCCCAAGCACCCTCGTTATAAGTGTCCCGCTAAAGAATCAGTGTGCAAGAGTTGTGGAAAAATTGGACATTTTCAACGTGTCTGTAGGTCCAAAGCCTCGAAATATCACGCGGGTTCAGCTCAAGACTCCTCAATCTCCTCGCTATTTTGTGCTGCTGCTCCCAATTGCCTATCCAAAACTACAACAGATATTTTGGTCAACGGCGTTGTTGTCCGAGCTCTCATTGATACCGGCAGCTCCAGAAGTTTCGTTTCTTCATCAATCCTGCAAACTCATAACTGGGAGCTATTTCCGTACGACTCTGTGATAACAATGGCGTCGACGATACATTCATGTTCCACCAAAGGTTATTGCCTTGTGTCCATTCAGTACAAGGATGCTATATACGAACGTTTCAGACTTTGTGTATTACCGAACCTTTGTGCAGACGTCCTTCTCGGACATGACTTTCTGGGGTTACATGATAAAGTCGAAATTCCATTCGGTGGTCAACGGGGTACCCTAACTGTATGTGGCGTAACATCCGCAAAACTGGAATCTCCATCCTTATTCACCAATCTTGCTCCAAATTACAAACCGATCGCCACAAAATCTCGTCGTCATACACCGGAAGATGAACAATTCATACAAACGGAAGTAGACCAAATGCTTACCGATGGCATAATCGAACCATCAAATTCTCCGTGGAGAGCACAAGTGCTCGTTACCCGCAATGCAAATCACAAGAGACGCATGGTGATAGACTACAGCCAGACAATCAATCGCTTCACCTACCTTGACGCTTATCCTTTACCAAGGCTCGACCAAATGATTGAAACCATCGCACGCTACACTGTCTACAGCACACTGGATCTCCAGAGTGCATATCATCAGGTTCCAATAATCGAGTCAGACAAGCCATTCACAGCGTTCGAAGCTGGGGGGAACCTATACCAGTTTCGGCGCATTCCTTTTGGAGTGACAAACGGGGTCGCGTGTTTTCAGCGAACGCTGAACAATATAATCAAAGCCGAACAGGTAAAAGACACATTCGCTTATATCGATAACGTCACTATATGCGGCAAAACGAGAGATGAACATGACCGTAATCTTAGGCATTTTCTCGATGTCGCAAAAACATACAATATTACTTTGAACGATACGAAAAGCAGCTTCGCAACTGAAGAGATTACTCTCTTAGGTTACAAGGTCTCCAAAGGTATTATAAGACCTGACCCAGAACGCATGCGCCCCATAAGAGAACTCCCACTTCCAGAGAACGGGAAATCGCAGCAAAGAGCCGTTGGTTTGTTTGCCTACTATTCACAGTGGATACCGGCGTTCTCTGACAAAATTCATCCATTGGTTAAAAACAAAATATTTCCGCTCCCGGAGAATGCCCGAACAGCATTTGAGAACCTTAAACACGAACTAGAAAATGCGATGGTAGTTACTGTCGACTACAATATTCCTCTCGTTGTTGAAACTGATGCGTCCGACATCGCTATTGGTGCATCCCTGAGCCAGGGTAGCCGGCCGGTCGCCTTTTTCTCCAGAACCTTGACTGCAAGCGAGAAAAATCATTCTGCTGTTGAAAAAGAAGCATATGCTATAGTTGAAGCGATCCGCAAATGGCGCCACTATCTCCTCGGGAGACATTTTAAATTGATTACGGATCAACGTTCGGTAGCCTTTATGTATGGGAACCAACAGAAAAGTAAAATAAAGAACGACAAGATTGAACGGTGGAAAATCGAGTTGGCAGGGTACAACTACGACGTCGTCTATAGACCTGGAACAGATAACCGCGTTGCTGATACCCTATCTCGTAACCTTTGTGCCAACATTACTGGGACGGAAAAACTTGAAGAGCTTCACAACATATTATGCCATCCCGGGGTCACGAGATTTGCACATTTTGTTCGTTCTAAGAATCTTCCTTTTTCAGTCAGCGATATCCGACGTGTGGTGTCCAACTGTTCCACTTGCTCCGAGCTCAAACCAAAATTTTGTGACACCTTTCGTGGCCAGCTTATCAAAGCCACACAACCGTTCGAACGCCTTAGTATCGACTTTAAAGGCCCACTTCCCTCAAACACTCGTAATAAGTACCTCTTAACAATCGTTGACGAGTATTCTCGATTCCCTTTTGCTTATCCCTGCGCCGATACGTCCTCTTCCACTGTAATTCGTTGTTTGAGTCAACTGTTTTCACTGTTTGGTATGCCTGCTTATATTCACTCAGATCGCGGTTCTGCATTCATATCAACTGAACTCAAACAATTTTTGTTCGATAAAGGCGTTGCCAGTAGTCACACCGCTGCATATAATCCACAATGTAATGGTCAGGTTGAACGACTTAATGGTACCCTTTGGAAGACCATCTGCCTGGCTCTAAAATCGCGCGGCTTGCCTGTCACACATTGGGAGGCTGTCCTCCTTGATGCTCTTCACTGTATCAGATCCCTGTTATGTACTAGTATCAACTGTACCCCACACGAACGTTTTATGCCGTTCACACGACGATCAGCCAACGGTGCCTCCCTAACTACCTGGCTTACTGTCCCTGGACCAATCTTTTTAAAACGCAATGATCGAGTCTCTAAATATGACCCCCTGGTAGAGGAAGTGGAACTCGTCTCTTGTAATCCACAGTACGCCCACATAGTTCGTCCAAATGGCAAACACGAAACCGTATCCTTGCACCGCTTGGCTCCCAAAGGCAACGACACAGAACAGGGACCAATACATATCGCCGAACAAGGGGAGCCTTACACAACACCAACAATCCACCGTGGTTGCTCAGAAACTGAACTTTTGCCTATTAACGATGCCTCGCCATCCCATTCTAGTGCAGATCCAGGAAATCACTTGGACATTCTTATCCGACAACAGCGCACTCACCCATATAATCTACACAACAGAGAGGCGTAAGCGACTCCATGTAACTATTACAGCCTTATTTTTTTTACATTCTTTCTCGGCAAAGTACACATTTATTCCAAGGCGGGGAGAATGTCATGACTACATAACCCACACCTTTGCATAACCCATTAACTCGTGATTCTCACTCTATTTTCAGCTCATGTACTACAGTTATTAGACGATTAAAGCGTACACTACGTCTTCCTGTTCCGTCTTCCTTCTAATCCCGTCCTGGAACTACTCGACTCTCGCAACAAGTAGCCAGAATGAGACGTCAAGGTTCGTCGTCACATCCACTTTATGACACGCCTGGTAACCGACTAACAATAGATATAAATCGATATTTAGACGTCCAATTTTATCCGCCAAACAAACCTCAATTTCAAGAGGGCTAACGCTAGTGTGGTCTTTTACATGCAATATGAGAAAATCCCACTTTCAATTTTGTACCGAATTAGGATCTGGGGTAGCAGTAAAGCTGTCGTTCTGAACAGAACTGTAGAAGGTCCTCGACGGGGCAAAACGGCTGTGGTTAGACCGCGAATTTACTGACCGGAAGGTCCGTGGTTCGAACCCAACCTCTGCCTCTCGACTTCCCATGTCTAAACTTGGGCAACCTGAGAGTATCCCAGCCCTCGTGTTTCATTCTGGTGGCATGGCAGTTAAACGCCGAAGGGGCACTGCAGCTGAATGACCACTCCCATCTCTTGACGGTATCAAACATTACGAATCAGTTGTTGGAATGGGAATTGCTGTCTGCAATTGCACAAGGTGCAGGATACCCTGCTTGTGGAACTCTGCAACAATCTACTTTACCGTGGTGTGGCGGTTTGTGTACCTCAGAGACCCACTGAGCTATACTGGGGGAGGGGTCCACGCGACGACCACAGTCTCTC